CGGACACTTTTGGCGGACGTGCCCCTCCTCCAGACAGCGGAAGCACCGCAGTGGCCGGGCCGCCAACACCTCCACCCGGGCCGACGACCAGCCGACCAGAACTCGTCCGGCGGTCGTCAGCCTCCTTGTCGCGGCCAGGGGGGCCCTCACCCACACCCCGCCGAGGCCGGATCGATTGCGTCTAACGACGCTGACCCGAACCTCGGCGGCGGTGCAACCACCGACCGCGGCCACCGCCTCCGACACGGCCTCCGCGGTGACCGACTCGTCGAGGCCCGTCAACTGCACCTCGGCGGTCTTGACGGGCCTGCTGACGCGTACGTCCGTCCCGCTGAATACGTCCTCCAGGCGCCGCGCAAGGGCGTCTGCCCGGGGATCCGTCACCTATTAGCGCTACCGAGCCCAGCGCATCCCCCGCCCAATCAGGGCAGTCCGGGACGCGGTAGGGCTCTGTGGCTACGGCCAACCCCACCCCCAAGCTCGACCAGACTTTGTATAAACATGTTTTATGTGCACCTACGGTTCGCATCCATCGTCCCAACGAAATGAATAGAAACACTTTAAAGAAAGAATAGGTTTGTACATAGATTATGCTAAACAGGGATGGGGTTCATCGAACGACGGAAATACGGCTCGTCGATTTTTTTCAAACACAGAAGTTTCAGCTCAAATCACTGGAATTGATGAAACATCAATTAAAAAATTGCATGTAATACTTTATGTAAATTCCTTCTCAACAAATAGATATTGCAGATTTATAATTGGTTATATAACATATTCTATAAGAATTGTCATACTAATTAAAAAATTTTATTCTTTATTATAGATCATATCGTATCCATATAAAATAAACATTGACTTTCGTGAATATACTCAAGGCACAGCAAAATATTACATTAAATATTATGACTGGTACTATATGACGAGTTCTGTGCATAAGTTATTAATGCATGGACTAGAAATAATAAAACAGGCGTTGCGTCCAATTGGGCACCTTTCTGAAGAAGTTCAGGAAGCTCGGCATAAGGACTTCAAAAATATTAGGAGTAAAAATACTCGGAAGTGTTCTCGATCAACAACAAATAAAGATATATTGTATAGACTACTTCTAACGAGTGATCCTTATATATCTATCATGCGAGTACGATCGTAGACAAAAAAAAGTAAATATTTAGATCCCGAAGCTAGAGAATTAATACTTAAATAATAATAATATTGTTACAATAAAGTTATTATTATTTTTTCTTTAATCTATTTGTTACTTAACATTAATATATTATTGATTCCAAATTTCGTCTCAATATCTCTTATGGTCATTCAATTTTCCGATCCGGATCACTGTGCGGCGCACAGTGGTTCAAATGCAGAAAAAAGTCATTTTTAAAAAATCTAAAATATAGGATTTTTTATGGCAGTTTTATAGTGGGATAGTTGGAGCATCAAAGTCAATAAATATTGTCTTTAAATACCATTACTTTGTAACGAAATTATGACGCCGAAATGAGGCGAATATGCATTAGGCGCATGAATGAGCCGAACGTCTGCTAGTTTGAGGTAAAAGCGCGCTATCTTTGAAGTGAAATATAAAGTATTTAACAGAGTGAATGGGAGACACTATTTCACAAGTTGATTAAGTTGATTATGTGAAGTAATTGAATGATAATCTTATTAATTTAAATATTACACAAGTTGACAAAGGCGTATCATTAACATTAGAATTGGAGTTTAATTAACGTAACTTTTCTGTGACAATTAACGTCAAGTTAAGACTTGATGATAATAATGCATCAGATCTTCTAGTACACAACCAAACAGGTTTCAGCTGCGGTAATCTGCGGTTTTAGTCTTTGGAGCAACTTCTTTGTAACGTTCACCGGTACAATAGATATGGGTGCGGATGCGAGAGGCTCTACTCTATGTGCTATTGGTAATATCAGAAAATTAAAAAGTTCAAGGGTTTTGAAGGAATCACAACCTAATGCATGAAATACTTCTGTAGGTAGATGTACAAAGGGCATATAAAGGTCATCGACGTTTTTTTTTGCTGTTTAATTCAACATAACAGTTTCTATGGGACCCGAGATAATTGAACAGAGTTTTTTCATCCATTTCGTGTTTTTAGTAAAAACATTTTAATACAAAAATTTTTGAATAGTTTGGTAAAAAATTTTCTTTAATTAATTATGGACGTTTTCTGTATCTTGCATTCTGTAATGCTTGAATATTTAAATTCCATATTTTTAATGCACTTACGTATTTTACAATTACTCAACAATATAATATTTCGTTCTATACATATATTCAGGGATCAAGAATATTTATATATGAATGTTTCTAATAGTTTATATATTTAATCTTTGTTTATGTATAGAATTCATAATAAATAACTATATATAGTTTTTGTGTTCAATATATTTCTGGAATTTATCGTTATTTTATTTATAATTTGCATTTTAATTTTTCTAATATTATATTCAAAATAAAGCGTAGCTTTTAAAGAGTAGGATAGAACAAGAAATATTAAAAAATATTGAAAATTGTTGAAGTTATGAGGTTTTTTCCGCGATTACCGCATTGTGTTGGACGCACAAATGTCGGTAATCTACAGGTTAAAGTGGTATTATTGAAGGTGAGTGGAACACGTTGCACGTTTTACGTGTAGTTTCCTTATCATCTGGTGTTCCGGTGGAAGGAGACTAGAAGAAAATAAACTTGAACGAGGAACCAGGAAAAATGCACGCGTAAATATTGTAGTTACATAAAAGGATGAAGTACAAAAAACTACGAACGGTTAAAGGGGGATCCTCATGTAACGGGATCAAAAAATGTAAAAAAATTTTATTCCATAAATCGTTAGTAAAATATCTCAAAAATGTATTCTTAAAGCCCCTGAGCGAAATTCGCAGTTGAAATAAGGGATATTACACCTGCGCGCTAGAGTTGACCCATCAGCTCGGCGCCTCTTTGTTCGGTCCCTTTTATGCAATAGGACACTCGACTATCCCTATACCTTGTGTAGTATGCCTACGTATTTGTATCGATGTGTATACATATTTGTAAGCATTTGTATACCTGACTGAGAAGAGCGTCGCTTCGTTGCTCGAGTCAGTCGTGCTCCGAAATTCGTACTGTGTATTTAGAAATTTTCCTGCGCCAAAATGTACCCAAAAGGCAGTAAAGGGGATAGTTCTCGTTCTTCCCGAATCCGTAAAAGGCGTTTCCAAGGAAATCAATTTTGTGAAAAAGATAGTGCTCCTCTAGGCGACAGTGCTTTGCCAAGAAAATTGTATACTGCGAGTAATGATGACATCGTGTTTACTCCTATACATATCTTACCAATTTATGAAGATTTGTCGAGGAGTGATCATTCAGAAAGGTGTTTAGGCGGCCATACACAGAACGCCAATGAGAGTTTCAATTCTACAGTAGGGCGTTTGGCTCCTAAGCACCTGCATTCCGGCTCGAAAATAATAGAAATTGCCGCTTATATTGCTGCCGGCATTTTTAATTAAGGCTATTACGCTATTTTAAAAACATTTAATACCTTAAACTTAAAAAGTGGACCTCAATGTAAGGTTTACGCCGGAAACCAAGATGCGCAACGGGTGACACGACAGGAGCGGCGTACTAAAAGTAGCTCAAAGGAAGCTAGAAGAGCTAGTAGATAGCAACAAATAGAACAACAAAGCTTTTACAAGAAAGTAGAAGGTTTGCTTTTTGGGCCTAGAATAGCACATTAGCCTACAAGTGCTGAGAGTGTAAGAAATTTGTTACTTTTCCGTACTTGAAACTTTAAACGCGTTTTTCTCAAAACCACATTTTTCAAATTGGCGTGCAACATTACGCATAAACTATTCAACCAATCGAATTGCCCTTTGACATGCATGTAGATTACTAAATTTCCTTCTATGTAAACCTACTTGTTTAATACTTTGTTCAAATTAAATCATTTTTATTGCAAAATTAAAGCAAAAATTTTTCCGTAAAAATCGAAAGTTTCTTTCTAAGTCCTGTTATTTTTTCAATTTTGCATTTTTTACTGAATTTTTAGGTTTACCGACGACGAAATCTTTTAATAAAAGTAACACAATGTTGTATTTCTATTTCAGTGAAGAAATGCAAGCGCAATCTTGCACGCCAATTGTGAAGTCCGGCGCCGAGGCCTTAGAAGGTCGGTCAAATTTTGTTGTATCTAAAAATGTTGCTAAACATATAATAAGAGTTTCAACAATTTTCATTTTACCGTCTCTTTAAAAAAAAATTCTAAAAATTATGTCATTTTAAGCGTTTTACTTGAGAATTCCCCCTTAATGAGTAATAATTAGTATATTACATCAGCTGATAAACCAGTACTATAAAAGTGCATATAACGCCAATGTTCAAGCCACTTTGACGACTATAGAATATATATTCTATGTATGTATATATATATACATACATATTTATATCATCTTAAGGAGGTAATTTTCTTGTTGTATATTTGTACTAATTTTATTGGCTTTCAGTATAAACAATCGTGTTGTAACATTTCGTAAAAACATTCGAAAATGGTACCAGCTGTTTTGTGTATAACGTTTTACAACTTCTCACATTCATAAATAATCATGCTTGGTTAATAAACATTTTTTTTCAAATACACATGTGCCCAATATTTTACACTAAATTTCGTTAAATTGAAATTCTACTTTAGTTTAGAGGAACAAATTTTCCACCTTACGCATTGTCAATTATTTCATGCAACGTGCTGTCTATGTACACCTGGACAAGACACACTTTAATTTATAGACTTTGTATTGTTTCATACATAAATATCAACTAGTTGGATGGTAATAAAAGAATTTTACGTTTTCGTATTTGATTTTAACGATGTTAACTCTGCAGGTGCAAATTATAATAGTACAAATAATTTTCATTGTTATCGTTGATCAGTGTCTCCAGGTCTGGGTTAGGTTCTATAAGATAAGTTTTCTAGACAACGGTACCTACTGTAGCCGGTAGCGTCATAGTTCTTTGATCCTCTCCGAGATTGAAGTGTCATATCGAAAAACAAATTCAGAAAGAATCGTGATGATAGATAGATCGAGGCTACCTTATCATTGGACACATATCCGATTAGTTTAGTGCGTTGATTCAGACTTTTTGTTTTTCAGCAACGTACAGTTTCAGAGGACTGTGTTGTGTTCAGTTCGGATCGATCAGTATGTCCTGTTTAAGTGCCGTTGAAGTAAAAGTGTACGAAGACACGATGAAGGATGTTGACATAATAAGGAATATAATCGATACAAAGCCCGAGGAGGAATCCTTCTTCATCCTGGATATCGCCAATTTGGTGCAGAAACATCAGAATTTGATCGCACAGATGCCACGAATTGTTCCATTTTATGGTATGTGTGTATGATAAAATTATTCCGTTAAATTTTTTTTTGTAAAATCGTATAACAGTTGTTTGGCTTTCTATTACAAACTATTGTCACTCAAAAGAATGTTTTTAAAAGAAAATTTATTTATGGGAATGATAGAGGAAGGGGAATGATAGAATAGCTCTTCACTACGACATGATTAGTATTCGTAATTATAAAATGATATATTCAGTGTAATATTTATAATTATTTATTATTAATACCTGACAAATGAAAAAATAAGAAAAAATAAAATGTGAAAGTATACTATATTTAGTTCTTTTTAGTAATAACTTCGATGTAAATGTCTACAAAAACTTCACGGTTTGGAAAGTTTTCATGCATAATTGCTTTTCCCCTCGCGTTTTAAATGGTTTTCTTTTGTTTGGAGATATTTTATACGTATCGAAACTTTGTTAGAAAAGTAAAAAAAGTCGAGCCATGTGTTTTTCGAGTTATTACTCTGAATAAGTTGTGGAAATATTGTATGAACAATTATTGATAGTATTATCTTTTAAGCTTCATAAATGGGCTGGCAGAGAGCAATTTAGCCAATTTTACTGTTTGAAGTGAGATTGTCATTTCCGATAGTTCCTTCCTTTGATAATGAGTTCCGTAGCTTCAGGGTCTAATTGTTTATGATTCTTGGTGGACGATTTTATTCTTAATGTGGACATATACGGATCTGATGTTAGAAGTAGTTTGTTGAAAACATCTTCGTTTGTAATTGCAACAATCCGTGACATTTTTCTACTACTTGTAATCCTATATTTTTTGAAGTCCTTATGTCTTGAGTCATGTACCTCTTCAGACAGTTATCATATTGGTAGCAATGCAGTTTCTACTATGTCAGCTCCATCAATTAACAGCTTATGTACAGAGGCTGGCATGTAGTACCAACCATACTTCTGAACACAATATTTGGCCGTCTCAAATGTGTATTCTTGAAATTTAGTCACATTTATTGTATGAGGCGAAGAAATTACTTGAAGTATTGTGTGAAGTCTTTTTCTTAACACTAGGTTTACGGGCACTTATCGTGTAGGTATCTCCACGGCACGCATCAACAAACCCGCAGATTTTCTTTAAAAAACAACTTATTTTATATAATACACAATTTATGATCTCTGAAATTAATGCATAGCTATAGAGATAGGTGTACCACATAGAGAATTTCGAGGTTAAAAAGCATTCGAAATGCGTCAAAATGACGCGTCCCGTAAACCTAGTGTTAATATCACATCAATTTCTGTAATTTCCGCAGAAATTTCGGCGTCCACAAAAAATATACTAGCGGTGTTTCTATTGTTGGAAGAACTGCAACCTTGTTTCACGAAATCAATTAGCAAACGGTTACTGGAAACCCTCGATTTTAGCAGAGACAATTTTTCTTTTGTTTGAAACAAAAACTTTCCTCTCACGGTTCTGTATACATATGTATACAGTCCTGTTTGCACATATTCCTCTCGGTTACTTTAGTTACCAACGTCTTAAACAATTGAGCATTACATAATGTAACATAATGTACATAATGTAAGCAGGTAAGGATTCATGCATAAGTGAAAATTTAAACTTTTACATTTTTCAATATATTTTAATGAAAGTGTCACGAATGAATTGAAGAGATTCTCCCGATGAAAATGAGCGCAAACGCATCAGTCGAGCTATTTTCAATATCATTTTTATCGCTGCATTGTGTATGAATACAAATTATTCGATTACACTCGAGTTTGAACTCATTTTCGCCGGGAGAATCCACAATTCATTCGTGACATGTTCATAAAAATGTATTGAAAAATGTGACAGTTTAAATTTTCACTGATGATTCAAGATTCATGCACTTTGCATGATTTCTTACCTGCATACATTGTATGTCGATGGACGGTCGCTGGTTTTTACGTCAACGCTCTATTTATGGCAGCGCGTTTATTCGTGCTGGCAAAAGTTATTTGAATGTTTATTCGAAGTTTTCAATTATAAGAGATTATATATCTTAATATTATAATTATTAAGTGTTAAATATACATGGGACTTAGAAATGTAAGTCGTATAAAAGAAGTTTTGTTCTTTCAATTTGAAACATGTGCAGTTTTCAGATTTGTCTCTGTTTTATAATTTATGCTTAATACACAAAATGGATCAATTTAACTAACGTTTTAACTAACTTTTTAGAGAATTGGTCATGCTATTTGTTAATATCTCGTCAAGGTACCCCAATTTAAAAAAAAATCATCTCTCTACATTAACTTGTCGCACAGAAAACCTCAATTTTTCCGGATCTGCTAGATAAAACGGGCGAGATCAATTTCAGGCACCACGAGCTTGTCGCGTAGCGGGCTCTCCCCAATCCGCTCCCGCCGCGTGCCCTCCGTTTGCATACTGGATCTCCGTGATCTTGATAAGAGAAGCCACTGAATGGATTATTCTAAAAATTAAGGAACAGATAATTTAATTCTTTCCCCACAATTCGTCTAAATTTCAACTCTTAATGTTAACAATTGATGTTACAGTGATTTTTCAAAGAAAAACAAATTGTCGCGACTACTGATTGATTTAGAGTAAAATATTTTGTTTTAAAATTTGTAGCCAAGTTTCAGTTATTGAATAGTCTATACGGTAATTCAAAAGAATAAAAAATGACGACTTGTAAAAGGGTCTATTTCGACAGTTTTAATTCTTTTGCAACTGAACATCTGCACCGATGTTAACGTACTATATCTAAGTTTTTAGGTAGTAAAAATACTCGCGTTTTTTATTTGAACCTTTTTTCCCTAAAATCATTATATTTTCTTCTGCATGCGAAAAACATGTTTTTCACATAGTTTCGAATTTTTTTAACAATATTTACGAGTCACATACGTCAGAGATGGGCATTAACTAGTTAAAAAATTATTTAAATAACTATTTGAATAAAAGATACTTTATCTTTTATCGTTACTCAAAGCTTGAATAAAAAACGTAACTTTATCGACGAGCGTCGATTAAATAACTTTATTCAACGAGAATTATCCGATGAGTAAAAGTTACTTTTTGTAATCATGGCGTTTCACTTATAGCGTTGCCGTTACTTTCATCTTTCACTTTTAACTTTATCCGAAAACTTCGAGTAAAGCCTCAAAATAGCTTTGGGCCAAGGGTATTCTACACAAGCATATTCTAGCCTGTCCGTGTGACCTCTGCCCCCACTACGTCCTACTCGGCGACACCCCAACACAAGCGTTTTCTACCTCTGTTCTGTGCGCTCTGCTTCGGGTGCCTCGGCAAAAGTCCTACGTCACACGTTTACGACGCGACGGTCGAGTGGCCCAAGCCAGGTCAAAAATCCCAAATCCCAAGCAACCTAAAGTTTACGTCCTAAACGCGGAGAGCTGCATGATTTCTCTCACGCGCTCATGATGAAGACCTCGTCCGAAACCCCGTCCGAAACCCCGTTCGGATCCTGATGCGACGGTTTTACTTTTTATTTTTAATTATTGTATAATTTCATTTTGTAAATTGCCAGTAAAATGAAAGGTTCGAAAATATTAATTTAAGAAGCATTTTACAAAAATGGTTGATGTATTTATTCCTCTTTAATATTTAAATTTTATATTACACAAATACATATTCTCTTATATATACAAAAATTATTCTTACAATTAGATGTTACCTTTATTTTAAATCCATTACATTAATATGTTACGTACAGTGAAATGAAAGCTTGGAAGATATTAATTTAAGAATCTTATACGTACGAAAGACCTTTAGAAATAACTTCCCTAATTTTATATTTTTTCTGCACGGTCACAGCGGCTATTGCTATCGAACAAAACTTTCTTTTACTCATTGTATACAGTTATTTCCCTTTTTTAATCTCGTTGTCAGAAGGTTCGACATTTGGTCGACAGCCGTTTTCGTCCGCGCGGTACTAGCAGAATTCGGAACAAAAGGGTCATAAACCTGTACCCTTCGAGTACGCGCTTAGTAACCAACTTAATGGTTTGCAAATGTACACGTTACCCTGAGGGGAGGTTTTACTTTTCCATGACGTATTGGAAAATCCAACAGATTTCTCCTCCTTCAGGGTAACCAATCAGTGGACAATATTTTTAGCAACCGCCTTCATCCTAAACGCAAGAAATGCTAGTCAGCCAGTTTTTAAGTGACTTCAGTGAGCTTCGCGTCGTGAGTAAACTCTGACCTGCGATTCCCGTTAGTCTGAAAAACTTTTCTGTGTTGTATTTTCTTATTGTTACCCCTCATAATGGATACGTACCAAGGTGATTCAGCAATCGAAGAAGGACCTGTTTTGGCAAATGAACAATTGCCAGGTATTTTAAATGGAAAGTATTTTAAAGTTTCTGTGCGTCAGGATAAAAGTGTTATTGGCTTGTGCCAAATTTGTTTACCCAATAACAAAGAAATAAAGGAGCATTTGACCTCGTCGTCAAATTTTCGCTCACACCTCAAGCGGAAACATCTTACAGAATTTGAACAATATAATGCCGAACTGCAAAATAGGAGACAACGCATAAACGTAGAAGACTCTACACGTGTCCGAAAAGAAGAGAAGAGGACCGACCGCGATCAATTTGAACTGGACGTGACGAAATATGTGATCAGTGCAATGATTCCCCTAAAATCAGTGGAAGACATTTATTTTCGCCAAATGTTTAAGAACCTAGGACATTCGGAAAAAGTGACCAATATAAGCCGACGCACAGTAGGACGAGTAATGAACAACCTGTTTTTGAAAAATATTTATCAAATTAAACAACACTTGAAAACAGTTTCATATGTTTGCACCACGGCAGATATATTTTCTGCACGAAGAAGAAGTTTCTTCGGTGTAACAGTACATTGGATTTCCTCAAAGTATGAGAGGAAATCAGCGGCACTTGCATGTCGTCGCTTCGCGGGTGTCCATTCATTCGATAAGATAACGGATATGTTGAAGACAATTCACGGAGAATTTGGCCTGACAACTGATAAAATCGTGGCTACTATCACAGATAACGCTAGTAACTTTGTTAAAGCATTTAAACTATTTGGCATAAATGAATCTTGTATTACAATAGAAGATGAAGAGGGCAATTCATCGGATTCATCGAGTTCATCGACAGAAGAAGAAGAAGAAGAAGAAGAAGAAGAAGAAGAAGAAGAAGAAGAAGAAGAAGAAGAAGAAAGAGAACAAGAAGAAAATACCAACAGGATACTCATAGATTTTGTATTGCCCCGACACATTCGATGTGCGGCACATACCTTAAGTTTGTGCGTAACGACGGATATGATGCAAACGATCCGCGGAAATGATTTGCTATCAGCGATTCACACGGGAGTCATGGAAAAGTGCAATATTTTGTGGAAGGCCGCTATGAGGCCAAAATCAGCTGAAGAAATAGAGAGGATTATTGGCCACACCTTAAAAAGACCTTGCGAGACTACGTGGAATTCCTTCTATGATTCCCTAACACAAATAATGGAAAATGAAAACAAAATTATTGAAGTAGCAAGAGTTTTGGGAATCAAAAATATATTAAGAGAAAATGACTTCCTATACATAAAAGAACATTCAAGATGTACGTCACCGATAGCAAGAGCAATAGATATTTTGCAAGGAGAAAACGATATCTTTTACGGGATATTACTACCTTGTCTATTGTCTCTTCAACGAACGTTGAAAGATTTAACAGAACACACGTGGACATTTTGTGGGTCTCTGAGTGCATGCCTCCTTGCTAGTTTAGAAAATAGATTTACAAATTATTTCAATTTCAATACACCGGAGGCAAATAATGTTGCACTTGCGGCATTGACACATCCGCAATTTAAAAACCGGTGGTTCCCGTGTATAGAAGAATTTTATCGTGATGAACTCATGGAACTGTTCAAGAAAACGATCACACAGGAACTAAAAAACAACAACTCTTCGGTCACAGCCATGCCCACAGCCACAACATCATCAACACATGATGATTTTTTTTATTTCGATGACAATCCAACGGATCAAATTATAGACTACACATCAAAAGCATCATTGCAGGTCAGTAAATTGTTACCTAATTGGTAAATACATGTATTTTTGTCAAGTTAATATAATGCAGTATGTATGTTATTAATTTTAAAAAATTTTGTTTTACAGATGCTACATTTCTTGGAAGAAAGAGATAAAGATTGGAAAATTTTAGAAAAGTACCCGGAAGTGAAGAAAATCTTTTTTAAATATAATACACCACTGCCGTCGTCTGCATCAGTAGAAAGATTGTTTTCATATGCGACGATCACCAATTCACCGAAGTGTAACAGACTTTCCGACAGTAACTTTGAGAAGAGAGTTATTCTGAAAGCAAACTTGAATCAGTTGGAAAAGTGAAAATGCTGCCGTCAGTATCAGGTACTATTGATTGCATTTTAGAATTGCCTAATAAAGTTTTCCTTCCCTACGTGAAGGAAACGTTGTACTGGAAAACTTATTTAACTTTTCCTTCCCTACGTGAAGGAAACGTTGTACTGGAAAACTTTATTAGGCAATTCTAAAATGCAATCAATAGTACCTGATACTGACGGCAGCATTTTCACTTTTCCAATGATATACATATAGTAGGACTCCTATAATAGGAGTTACAAGACTTAGGCGCGGTGGTGGCCGCCGCGGGGGTTTTAGTGGGTGAGAGTCCCACACTACCTCGGAGTCCCACCCCAGGACTCCGAGGTGTGCATAATGCATTTCCCCCGCGAAAAAAAAAAAAAAAAAAAGGAGTTACAAGATTTCAAGGGTCACGAGTGTTGTTTAACCCTCCGAGCACGGGGCACGGAAGCATGGTCATCGATCCCTATTTTATTTCTCACCCCACACATACATTCTACTAATATGCTTATGAATAAAATACTTTAATTTAATCAACTGTTTCCTTTTATATTCCTTTTCCCATTTTCATTACTAACTTTTATGCAGTATGTTTTAATTTTTATGCAATTTTTTAAACTTTATGTATAAACTTAGTAAACCTCGTGGTATTTTTAACTTTTATGTAACATTATTTTAATTTGATTTAATAGTAAATAAAATGTATAATATAAATTTGTTAAATAGAATTTTTTTATTATTCTGTTACGAACAGTGTTGAATAGAATTCGATCTACTAACTAGTATGTCATACGTATACATTTCATTTCTAATGACCTCCCAAACCATTTTATACAAACAAATAGCTAATCAGAATTACTTTTTGTTGAAAGTCTAATTCGACTGGACTATTATTCTAGCTGGAAAAAGGTATTTGATATTTTTTTCAAAGCTTTCAAATAAAGATACAGATGAAAGATGAAAATGTAATTCGACACTATGGATGAAACGCTCTATTAATAAAGTCGAGGGAGCCTCACTCGACGCTGTCTCCGTGTGGGCCGACCGCGACAGGGATGGTACCCCCAGTACCACCCCTCGGCCATGGCTGCCCCGGGGGCGGCGCGAGGAGTCACTGCGGCAATGATCCCAAAACTCGCGCGCTCGCGGGCAAGAACAAGAAATGAATAAAATACTTTCTCTTCAACTGGGATTCGATCACTGAACTTCCAGATTTGCACGCCATGCACCCAGTCACTTCGCCGTTGCGGATCTCCCCCCTTAACTCCTTGCATGTATGTGTGTTGTTTGTTTCCTTTGAGTCGACGTGAAATACAGCTTCGCTGGTATTAACATTTCAGCTTTAGAATAAATTGTAATACTTGTCATATGAATTGAATGCCTTTTGTATCTGGAATCATATTAACAATAAAGTAATACTTGAGAGTGAAGTCGTAAAAGTTTTTCTCAAAACCATTATTTGGAAAATGGTTACCACGATATTTCAAATTCTATTTGTCCGATGCCCACTTTGTGCACACATCTTTAGCAGTTCGTCTATACCAGAACTGAGCCAAAATAGTTTTCTTCTTTAATTTCACATCCCGAAAAAGACAAAAAAAAATCGCAAAAATCGATAATTCATTTTCAAATTGCAGCCATTTTCCAAATTTTGAACATTTCAAATCTGGCATTTGCGATAGCAATATCCGAATAATTTAAGAATCTTTTTAGTTTTTGTTGTTATTTCAAATGAACAGAACGACCAGAATTATGGTAACCAATCGAGCAATTTTTTTCGTGGTGGTTAAATTTCATGGGCTGCAATGTCATCTTTATTTCGTTATGATATACATATAATAAACATACAAAACAAACGCCCTTAACAGAAATTCCTGAAAAAATTTAACAAAATCGAATGCCACAATACAATATCCCCTTAAATGTCCAATTTATTAACACCCTTGTATAAATTCAATTGCAGCTGTCAAATGCAACCCGTACCCCATGGTTATTAAGACACTGGCTGCCTTGAATTGCGGTTTCGATTGCGCCTCTGAGGTATTGAAGTCTTTACTATCGTCAGTTGACCTGACAGCGTTCCGCTAACTATTCTGTCGCCGATAAACAAATGTAATTGAACTGTTCGAAACAGCAAGAAATAAGGGAAGTGATGTCGCATGGTGTATCCGCGGAACGAATCATTTTCGCGAATCCAACGAAGCTGCCCACGCACATAAGGTTCTCGAGGAAAGTGAACGTCGAGAAAATGACCGTGGACAGTGAGACGGAACTGATGAAAATCAAAAAGTATTTTCCAGAAGCAAAGTAGGTTTCCTTGTTTTTGTTTCAATAGATTAAACATGTTTTTCGCCTGTCATGAATATTTATCAGAATAGTGATTCGCATTCGATGCGACGCTGTCATCTCGATGGTGTGTCTCGGAACGAAATACGGTTGTGATCCGGGCGATGAAGCTGTTCGCTTGATACACCTAACGAAAGATCTCGGTTTGACATTGCACGGATTCAGCTTTCACGTGGGAAGTCCCTGCGGCGAGGCGGCCGCTTACGGAAGAGGCATCGAGATATGCAAAAGATTGATCGACATTGCTAGAACGATTGGTTGTCACGATGCCCAGTTGATCGATATCGGGGGAGGGTTTCCTGGGGAAACTGGATCCCGATTGGACCAAGTGAGATTATTTAATTTTTATTTCCATATAGACTGACAAAAAATTTGTTCACGGAAGGCTACCGCAAAATTCACGAAAATTTATTCATGGGAGAATGTCGGAGCTGTTTGACGGAATTATGCACCAAGTTTTGCGGGTTTTGTTTTAAAAGTACGGAAAATCCATCAGGTGGTACAACTGACAATGAAGTTTTTATGTGGAAAAATAAGATTAAAATGTATAGTGAAATTTGTTTATACAAGCTTTTGTTTTCGAGATAATCGTGCTTGCAGATTTGTCTGCCTTGCACATGCTATGTGTATAATAGATTTTATATATTTATTCAATGTTAAAGATAAAGATAATTATAATTTGCATTAGTATTATATCATAAACTATAGAGTAAACTATCATTTCGCAAAAATTTACTGCAAGTAATGTACTAAATTTACCGTTTTATAATTTACCAAACTTACATATATAGTTTATATACCTACCAATTTCATAAGTTTCATTAAATTGTTATAGAATAATATTTATTCTTTTATTAACGGATACCTAGTCTGAAAATATTGTTTGTAAACATTTGTTAGTTGGTTTTTATAGTAGTTGTATATACAGGCTGTAACATAAATGTTATCCGACCCGGAAATGGGGCACTCGGGGAGTGAATTGGAACAACTTTTTCCTTAGCAACAATGTAATCTGAGTGATTCAATGAGGCTTCGTTACCGAGATATTAACGAAAAGCCGCGACAAATCAGAGCGCGAGTTTGCCAGCCGAGTTCCTGCGCTAGCGGTGGCTACGCGCTATGCTTGTACTACGAAGCTCCGAACAAGTAGGTCAGCATGCATCGCAGGAATCTGCGTATAATAGCAAATAAAAAAGACGTAACAAATAAAATCATACATTTTATCATCTGTCGTTTGTTATTTAAAGAGATTACTGAATGAAACGTAAATGCAGCCAAATTATGTGTAACGTAAAAAGACGAATGCACACTTACATTTTTGTAAATTCCTTTTTACGAATTTGTAAATTACCTTTTCAAATAACGTGTGAACGAAAAGGTAATGTAACAGAGAATGAACGAGAAGTGATCGGAGTTCGGTCTTGGTATAAAAATTCGTAGTTTAATAACGGGCAACAATGTTACTGATAATGAATAAGTTTCTTCAAAAAGCCCGAAGAAAAATTTAGGTATAGACACTTACAGAATTATCGCCGGAAATAAATCATAGCTTGCGTTAAATTAAAAAAATAATCAGCAATAAATTGATTAGAACTCACTCTTTCGGAAATTCACCTGCAGTTTGCAAACCTGTGTCACTAGGTCACTGAACCGATTCTGGTCATCGACTGCCGAAACGGTTTATGGCAGGGTATCGCCCAGTTCCCAGGTGATCGCAGGTATACCTCACCAGCCGAAGTTAAAGGTTGCAACCTCAAGTGCGTCCGGGATATTCCACCGAATACGTATTCACTACACTGCACGTCTACTAACACTGATCACCCGACACAATCACTTAATGTATTTTTAATCCAACGTGTTGTTCCTACGTTAGGAAAATTCGTGACCCCTGAAATGGCCGATTGTTTTCAATTTATCAGATGTTTTACGTAGCCAAACACTTGCACATCAGCAGCCGCATATCCGTTATTCTGTACATACCACCAGAACATTGCGTAATACTCCCGTGAACTGAACATCACTGTCGCCCGATTGCTAACCGACTGACAGAATTTTTCCGAAAGGACTTCCTCTACCCCCAAGTAGTTTCCCATCGTTACATTGTGAGGTCACTCCCACCGCGGCAACAAGATGTAGGTAAAAAGAAACCAGCGTTCTAGGAAAACACGTGCTTTGCAGAAGTGCAACGAACGAACCGTCGTGCAGTTTCACCGAATATCCCGAACGCACTTGACATTACAACCCTTAATTTCGGCTGGTGAGATATACCTGCGATCACCTGCGATCACTTGCTATCTGGGCGATACCCTGCCATAAACCGTTTCGGCAGTCGATGACCAGGATCGGTTCAGTGACCTAGTGACACAGGTTTGCAAACTGCAGGTGAATTTCCGAAAGGGTGAGTTCTGATCAATTTATTGCTGATTATTATTTTCTTAATTTAATGCAAGCTGTGGCTTATTTCCGGCGATAATTCTGCAAGTTTCTGTACCTAACTTTTTCTTCGGGCTTTTTGAAGAAACTTATTCATTATCAGTAACGTTGTTGACAGTTATTAAACTACGAATTTTTATACCAATACCAAATTACGATCACTTCTCGTTTATTCTCTGTTACATTACCTTCTCGTTCACACGTTATTTAAAAAGGAAATTTACAAACTCGTAAAAAGGAATTTACAAAAATGTAAATGTGCATTCGTCTTTTTACGTTACACATAATTTGCCTACATTTACGTTTCATTCATTAATCTCTTTAAATAACAAACGACAGATGATAAAAGGTATGATTTTATTTGTTACGTCTTGTTTATTTGCTATTATTATACGCGGTTTCCTGCGATGCATGGTGACCTACTTGTTCGGAGCTTCGTAGTACGAGCGTAGCGCGTAGCCACCGCTAGCGTGGGAACTCGGCTGGCAAGCTCGCGCTCTGATTGGTCGCGGTTTTTCGTTAATATCTTGGTAACGAAGCTTACGATTACAGTACAAGTTGTTCTAATTCCCCCCCCCCCCCCAGTGCCCCATTTCCGGGTCGGACAACATTTATGTTACACCCTGTAGAAACATACTTACTGGACTGAAAATAAAGTATAAAAAATTATTTATTTTTTCTCGTTTGTATTGTTTCATTCATCGTATTTAACTTTTTGGAAAACACCTGTATTTATGTTTCATAATGTTAAATATTATGATGTTTATCTTTTCATCTCTTTGTACTTAGTTTGCCAGTGTAATCAATGACGCGATTCAGGACGTTGATCCAAGTATCAAGATTATCAGCGAACCAGGACAATATTACGTGACATCGGCATTTACTTTAGCGTCGTACATACACACGAAAAAGATACTCTCTCGGGAAGAGAAATTGATCAGAATGTACTACGTAGGTTGCGGTGTGTACACTTCATTTATAGAAGAGCTACTGGGCGTGAGAGCTAGAATTCCAATCACGTTGGACAAGGTACTAGCACAATTTCCCAAACATAATGATTAGACTGTATATTCTAAATGGATATTCATCTAAAGTAGTAGATGTACAAATAAGTAATTCACTATGTTTTATCAAATTCAGTAATTTTTTCTGGAGGAACTCAGAAGTCTATGCCAACTCAGTGATACTTTACCTCGACCTTCAGCGGCAACAGTCATTTTAAAAGAAGAAAAGGGTAGAAAGATGTTTTATATGTAAACAATGTTACCAACCTATTAAAAAGAATTAGTGGATTACTTAATAGTACACGTAACAGATTTCGACGGGTTAATAACACTGTTCAACATGTAAAAAGTTTTGCTATTTTCGGCCGATGTTTGTGATAGATCTTTATGGTCTGAATATGAATCTGCAAACCGTTTCTACTCAGCACGTCGGATTCTTGAAAAAATGAATTTTCAAGAAAATTGTAAATTTTCAATTTTGGAACTGTGTTATGCTTTTATAGTAATGGTTATTCAGTTTCTTTTGACACGAAATAATTCTGTGGACTTTTCCGAACAAAATGTTGTATTATAGATATCTAAATGTTTAACTAATGTTCAAAGTGAAATGGACACCCAAAACGGATCAATTTTTGCTGATATTTTTCACTTTATTTCAAAAACTAATGATCTAGCAGAAAATCTAACCATATCACACGACAGAGACGACCCTGTCGAGGAAACTGCCAAGGAAACTTACAAAATCTATTTTGTTTTCACTAGAGAACCGAAATAGGTCAGCAAAACACGCGGTGGCGTCAGTGGTACTCAATGACGGCGGTCGCCTTGCCTGCCACTCAGCGTAAAGGCTGCCGTCTAGGGATGACTCGATACAAGTACATACGAGTACATTAATCGATATCTTTGTTTCGGTACTGAGTAAGTATCGATACCTTCATACAATACTAGCAATGAGTGAAAGTATTGATACCTTGGCGGTATCTGTTCAACGCTACAGCCGTCCATTTGAGAGTATCTCGCACGAGTTACGCTCGAGAGTACTGTCACGACATACAAAAAGCGAGTGGATAATGTGGATACACCTCTGAGAATTACTGTCCGAGAGCATCGCTTAACTGTATGTCAACTGTGTTTGCTGTATGTCGTGACAGTACTCTCGAGGGCAACACACGCGAGATACTATCAAATGGATGGCTGCCTTTACGACATACAATAAACACAGATAGTGGACATACAGTTGAGCGATTCGCTCACGAGAAATACTCTCGAGAGCAACTTGCGGCAGTCAATAATATTCTATCCGACAGTCGCTCGCCGAGAACAAAATAATTTTGTACTTCTGTGAGAACTGTCGCGCGAGAAATATAATGTCCGGCAAGAAAAATTGGTGTGAAAACGAAATCAACAATGTAATTACATTTTGATTGAATTTTGATTTAATTACGCTTAGTTCAAAACAAACTGTAGGTCAGACGAGCACGGACGAATCTCTATGACGTTTTAATGACTATCTGAGAGTAAAAACTCTGGCAGCTACTTTCGTTCCACTGTCACCGCCGCGTGTTTTGCCGAACTATTTCGCTTCTCTATTGAAAATAAAACGGATTTTGTAACTTTTCTTGACACCTTCCTCCGCAAAAAGGTCTGCTCTATCGCGTGATATGGTTAATTTTCTCCTAGACCCTTAGCTTTTAAATAAATTCAAAAATATAATCAAAATAATAACTATTATAGTAACAACAATTTACATCATTTTGTTCAGAAGAGTCCAACGAATTATTTCTTGTCAAAAGAAACTGAATAATCGTATAATTCGAATCAAATATTCGTTTATAAATAAATTTCTTCGAAGAATGTATTTTTCTTATACATACATATGAAGGAGAAACATTTCTTGAAAACAACGTCCCACTAAAATGTTCTTTCAGCTATGTAATACCGTCTTACATTTTAAATAGTAGTGTCTTTAGTATGAAACATTTTATACTGTTCCAGCCAGCGAGTGATGAAAAATTTTTGTCATGGGTTTGGGGCCCAACATGTGACTCGTTTGACTGTATACTAAAGAGCGTGTCACTGCCAGACCTCGAAATCGGTAATTGGCTGATATGGAGGGATATGGGCGCGTACAGCATTGCCATCTCTTCTACGTTTAACGGTTTCAAGGAACCCGTAGTGTACCCGTTCACCAGGAAAAGTAAATGGTTGGTAGAATTTATGTTATAGAATTTTTAAAATTATTCTTATAAAGTAAAAAGAATATAGCTGATTTTTGAACGTTTATTGAATTTCAGAGAAGCTATTACCACATATCGATTTTAATTTCGGTGTAACAGGAACGAAAATTCTAATTCGAATTTTATTTCAATTAATCTAGTAACATTTTCACCTCATTATTATTTATTGAATTTAACTTGAAAAAGTCATGCAACTCTGAATTAGACAATTCCGTGAGAGTATTTTTTACTGTTCATTTAGGCTTTAATTAGTTTTTCTGTACATCTGGAAAATTAATGTACCCTGGTAAGTTCACGACGTAAACAATTATTCTCTAGTCGATTGTTGCTAAAATCATGAATGAAAAAAATTTGTAACGTATTATAACCTAATAACATTCACAGATCTGTTGATGTCTGTTTAATGTGTAAGTATTACGAGACGATTAAAAATTAATTATTCATTTTTTAACATTTGTCACGCAGAAACTCACGAAGAAAGTTGCCAATGAATTGTTCTGTATAAATTAGACTGTTAAAGGCAAAGTAATAGATTTTTAAAAATCTTCTACTACATTCTGTGTAAATCTAGTCACGTTCACTGTTTAGAAAGCAATCATGCGAACAATTGAAAACGTTTCCATGAAAGCGTAATTAAAGGTGTCTTTATCTTGAATTGTGAGTAAGCGTGTGCCTTTTCATATAATTTAAATATCCATTCTTATACGAGCCCTTTGTCATAGTTTTAGAATTATTGTAGTAATATAAGGCAGGAAGAAGCACTGAAACTTCCATTAACTTTATAATCATGTTTTAAGTGTTTTATTGCTATGCTATTATAATGAATTTTAGTATCGACGTAAAGTTGCTACAGAAGTTCTATTTGTTACGCGAGGAAGAAATTCCACTATTTTACTAAAAAATAATTATGTATTAATAAATATTTATGACAAAAAGCATTACATTTTGTTGAAAAGAAATTGACAAAAAAAATTTGTGCAGTAACGCAATACTGTAAGAGTTCGGCCCGTTCGCCCTGTGGGCATGCGAGTTCATGGGGTCACTGCTGCGGTGACCCCTCGCGCTGCTCGCGGGGCTGCTAGGCTGAGGTGGTGGTACTGGGGGTACCATCCCTGTCGCGACCAGCCCAAAGAAGGACAGTGTTGAGAGGTGACCCTTCGGCACTGTAAGATGGAGGAGGCAGGACGGATTAAAAGCCGTCTCTGGGCGGGGGGGGGGTGGAATACCACCCCCCCTTCTGAGGAGAGTTCTTTCCCCGTTGGGGGAGGAGCATGGGCGGTCCCGGTCGCGGATATGTGCGTCGGTGTTCCCGTGGCAGGCCCTTACGCCCGGGAGGGTCACCGAGGGGTTTTTAGCGTAGTGTAATCTCGCACAGTCCATCTCCGCCCCCAGCGGAGACGGTATCGCCTTTTCAAGGCTTTCTCCCCGTCAAAAAAAAAAGAATTCGGCCCATTCTGCGTTTGCTATGTATAATAACTGTATACCAGGTGTGTGCGTATTGCGAATCGTTTTATCACCTCGATTTACAGATGCGTAAACAGATGTCATAGAACTCACACAGTGAACACACAACAATCAGAACCCTTAAAATAGTATCTTCTATGTAATACCTTCATACAGTAAATATTTCGTTATTGTAAAGAGTTTGTTCTTATTATAAATTCCCAATATGTTCTCAATAAAGATTACGTCGTCTTTATACATATGTATATAGGACATTCGATGAATTCACATCATATCAAACCTCTAGCGGCGGTGTGATATTAAAAATTAATCTGACAGAATAGCAAATACTCTGTGAATTTATTAACCAAAATAAAAATTCATTTACAAGTAACTTATGTACATATGAACGGGGTTAACAAACGCTTTGTTAGGGAAATCATGTACGATGTTATACAGATTAAATAAGTTCGTGACTTCATCTACGTAATCATGAGTCTAATTGTTTGAAGTAGCGTTAAGTCCGTCCCATCTGTATAGAAAAAAAGATAGAAAAAAATCATCAGAAGTGAGTACATGAACAGGACTTATTCATTCAGAAATTACTCACTCTTTTGCAGTCTGACACGAGCCTGGTTTCATTCCCGCACTTACTTCTGCGTTGTATAAATCCAAACCACTTATCACGTCCTCTCTTGGTAATTCTGTTGCCAATGAATCTCGTACCTTTAAAATGTACAACGACACGTTTTTTAATTTCAATGATTTTATATTGACGTTGGGGAAGTATTTAACACGTTGGCTGACAGACTTATTGTCGTTTTCAACATTTCAGTTTCTGACAGTCGTTGCTAATAATACGCTCTGTGAGAGAAGTTTAATGTCTAAATAGCAGTATATACAATTTTGTACATATGATCGATAAGAAACTAATTAAAGAAGCGTTATCAGACAGGGTGGACCAATATAACATTATTAGGTTGTGGCACAATAAATGTCACTTTTGAACTGCAGTGTTTAAACGATTATAAGTTGTCTTGAAAAGAACATTTTCAATTAAAGTAGATCTGCCTGGATCGAAACTCTGTTGCCAGCAACTCACAAGCTTCACGATTCCATGTGTACCGATGGGCTAAAATGAAGTGCGTTGAAAAATGACATTTACTATTCAATAACATAATACATATCAGCTTGAATATCTCTGAAACTACAGGAGACAACATGTTTCAAACGAAAGTTATTTGACGTGAAAAGGGTCATCGATTAAGATTGTAAGAATTTAATTAGAAAATAACTTTTCATAACAGTTTCATGTCTAGTCGAAGAACCTGAAAGGGCACTATTCTGTCATAATTTTATCGTGGCAATTAACTATCCAGTTTTGATTGAATATTAGTAATCATGAGAATTGCAATTACAAAATAATCTATTATTTCATTTCAAATGATACGTATTCAATTCAGTATAAAATTTCAAAATATTCTGTCTTTTCTGGACGAATTACTTGAATAAAACTGGGCTCATGCTTATGTAACATACTGCGTTTGAAAATTCATAAATTAATCGAGAAGACAAATTAATTTTGGTTTGTCAGTTAACGTGTTTATGAAAATTTTTTTTCTTTACCGCTTCCACAGCTTTAAATACACGAATTAAGTTCCTTCCAGCGAGTTTCTCAAGGTCCTCCCTGGTCCATCCAGGTTCCACGTTACTTTCGTACAGACGATCGAATAGATCTGGGTATTTAGAAACGTCTTCTAAACCTTCAGGCACTCTGGAATATTTTGATACATTTTCTTCCTTTCTCATATGAGCTTTTTAAATTTATTTTCTGCAATGAAAATACTCACTGACTTATGCCATCATAGTCGGCGCCAATACCAACGTGATCTGGTCCGATAAGATTGCGAATGTAGTTAATGTGATCTATAAAAAGAGAAATCGGTGACACCTGGAGATAAGGTTATAATTAATTTTCTTAAATATCTTTGAAGTATAAAACTTAACATTTGTATAGGATCGTTTATTGCAGCATATCTTTTTCAATAGGAAATTCGTAATTCATATTCGCTTTCACAAATGAAATAAACAAATCCCGCAACTATTTCAATCGTGCACAAGGCGATAATTTATAATATTTATTTAATTATTTATTATAAATATAATAAATATTTTTAAAATATCATTAACGATCCTTTTGCTATCACTGGATTGAGTACGTTTGCGCGAATAATATATTCGCCGAATCCGTATTTGAATAAACAGTTTATTTTATATATTACGGCGCTCTCTTTTTGAAAATAACGTAAAAAATCTAATTTTTCTTTTCTATTGTTCTTATCTGTTTTAATTTTTTTGAAGATTTTTGTTTCATTGTTTTTTTTACACATTTACATGTGTCACAAACGTATGGAGTAGTCTAACTATCGCATTGTCTTTTTGCAAAAGCATATGAATGTCGAAGTCAGTTAACTTGTCTTCGATTGTCAGTGAATCTTGATTATGAATCATACCAATGACGTCTTGTATCGTTGCGTTCCTCGACGAGTTGCAATTCACGAAGTGCGAGTAAAAGTTCACCATCACGATTCCGTTGTTTTCTTTCTGAGAATCACATTCAAGATCACGTGCCTCGCACAGTTAGAAGATATCCACGAAAAATCAAGAAAGACACTTACGACTGAATGAAGCACGTCATCAGGAACATTGCGATAGTTATTGCAAATGCTGAAAGCCGACGAATGAGAAAATATAATTGGAGCCTTCGTTACTGCAAGTACTTTTCTCATGACGTTATGGGACACGTGTGCCAGATCGACCAACATTCCGAGTCGATTCATCTCATGGACAACTACCTAAATTAAATTGTAGAACGCATGGATCTTTATCCACATGAAAATTATATATGGCGATGGTAATGATATAATGAGGTTGTCAACTTATTGTTAATCGAGCCGTTCACAGGTCCAAGTGACTATCTCCACTTTTTAATTTTTTTCACATTTTAATGCCAAAGAACTTGAGTAATGATTAATTATATAATTTTGTTAGTTTTCTCAACTTATAGTTTAGTGGAGTTCATTACTTTGGCAAATGAACGACTCAGTTAACGATCTCGAGAACGACTTGGTATCAAGTACCCAAATAGCAAAAAAACGTCCTATATACGTCCGATGGACGTACGTTCCGGACGTTCTGTACATTCGGAGGGTATCCCGAAAAGGTCCATTTGTCCCCGTTAGGTCCTCGTTAAGATCTTTAAATGTCCTAGGAAAGTCTCCTATTTACAAAGTGGAACGTCCTGAGGACGTCCAGTGTCAACATTCTAAGAACGTTTCCCGAATGTGTAAAAGTAACATTCCTTGTACGTTTTGGGAACGTTTAAAGAGACTTTAAAAACACTATGGTAATGTGTTAAAAGACGTATAAGAAACATTTCCCAAATGTTTACAATTGCGGTTAGGTTTCATTCTGTACAAGGTGACAGGAGTTAGGTTAGGTTGGTTTGTGTTTAACAAATGAAAGATTAACTTTCCTGCGATTTCCGCACTTAGTAGAAATTAGATCTAGTTAGTTCCTGTTAATAAATAAAAGGTTAAATTTCCTATAAGGAATTATAATGACAATATAGGTCTGGGGATTATGATCTCCAAGTACATTGTTTTTATTTCTATTTTCACAGCAAAACTCTGATTCTGTGTTGGTTAGAGACAGTTTAAGAAAAAACATGTTTTTTCAACTTTCTTGAGGTTTTCGCACAAAACCACTAGTGTCGGTACACAGCTTTATTGATTCTTTAAAGACTGACACCTTGTTTATAGGGTTCCATCACCTTGTACGGAATGACATTGGCAAAACTACTATACGAAACCATCAAAAATTTAAATCTTGAGAACATCCGTAGGACTTTTGGGACGGACGTTTCTAGAACATCTGAAATTTAAGTCTTACGAACGTCCTAGGGATGTCCCAAATGGACGTAGGATATTCGGATATAAACTGGACATGAAATGGACGTCTTTAGAATGTACGGTGCTATCTGGGTAGTGAAATAAGAGAAATATTTTAAAAATATAAGTGATGATCGTCGCCTCATGTGTTTACTTGAGACTATATAGAAGAAAGTATGAGGCACATGGTTTTAATGAAAGAAGTTACTTGATTACTTTTTCGTCAAGGATTAGTATTCAGTAAAAATTACTAAGATTCTGCATTAAAATCCGCTATACTATAAATCCCATATATGTATAATAAATATATTAAAACTTTCAACTTACTACCCCAAAATCTGTAAGGTTGTGGACAGAATTTTCATTTATCGGCGATGCATCAGCCCTGATAAAATGTAACAAAACGCTCGTTTAATTTTTATACTTATTTGGTTCATATCGTTTATGTATATTTGACATGTAGAATAACTGTGGACTATGGTCGCTAATAATCAAGAAGTTGATGCGACCTTAAACCAAAAGAAAGTTGCGTAATTCTTTGAGAAACAGTATTTCACGAGCAACAATCCAATATTTCTACTGGTTCCAATTGTATTGTACCATCATTTCAATGAGTCTGTTAGCGATCATATGAATTTAATAATTATTTAACGTACCATGGTGTGTTGCAAGAATGGGTCAACGTAAGATAACGAACACCAAGTTCGTAATAGAGTCTGAGTACCGCCAGACTTGAATCAATGGAGTGACCGCCCTCAACACCTATCATGGAGGCGATCTTTCCATTTCTCCAAGCCGTTTCGATGTTATCAGCTTCGGTGACGAACTCCAGATCATTTGGGTATCTCGCGACCAGTCTTTTGATGACATCGATTTGCCGCAACGTCAATTGCACCGCGTCTTTGTACTGGGAGTCGCAACGAACGTACGCTGCCCAGAACTGAAATTAACATGTGTTATAACCATCATTCCATTGATAAGAGAATGAAGGCTATAAAAGTATCTAAATGTTTGTAGTAAACAATTTAAACTGTGAACTGCATGATTTTTAATTATATACAGGTATATAAGCATAATTAACCCTTTAAGCGGTTATGTTATATCTATACAACAGGGTTTCTAAGGTCGGGTAGTACAACCTGGCAAGAGGTGATTCTGTAAGAAAAAAAAGAATAAAGTGTTTTTGTTGAATGTTTCGTTTTTGAGAAATTTGGGTTTGAACATTCATCTAAAGCGCGTGTATGTACACCCGCGAGCAAACTCGGCTTCCACTAGGGGAAAAAATTGTGTAGCGAAAGGGCCTCCTACCACTTGGTTTCGAAACTTTCTGAAATTTACGCCAAATTAACATTCATTTTAACATTCATTTCAGTACTTGGATTAAATTTACCGAGGGGTAGGACTGGTAGGAGGCCCTTACTCTTACACCATTTTTTCCCCTAATGGAAGCTGAGTTTGCTCGCAAGAGTATGTAGTGCTGTCAATGAGTAGAAACGGCCTGCAATGAACAAACGCGTTAGCCCAAGTACTATTCTATTGCCCGCTTATCCAACTTTGATTATTTCGAAAGTGAAGCATCATTCGAAAAAATGTTATTCTTTTTGTTTTACTTATTTTTTCTTATAGAATTACTTCCAGCATGGTTGTACGACCTCACCTGAGAATCCCCATATATGCGTCATGACCGAAGTCAATACTTAATTTTTCAAAATAAAGATTAAAAAATTGTTTTTTAATTATTTCGAAATAACAGTGTTCAAAATGTATAATTTTATATATACCTCTTGCAATGTGCAAAATTATTTTCAAGTAATGGTTATGATGTATGTACATATAGTACATGTACGCCAGCAATGAAAAATTCGTACTACTGTGGATTGCACTTCCAATGATGAACCGTAATGTTTACGGGGTAAAAGACAAATAAAATTGGTTTGATGCGATTAATATGATAATTTTATGCTCTTATAGTATACACGGACTTATAAATTGATCTAAAATAACATTGTGGATATTCAAAAATATTTTTATTCAATTTTTCGTAAAGTAAAATTCTTTTTAGAAGAAATACCTACATTTTTCTTCGATTTCAATATGACTAGTCTAATTATCAGGAAATCGAGCCAGCAGATTTTTCACTCACTTGTGCTCCGACTTTTCCTTTCCTTAATCGCGGAAGATCCGTGAAACACGATTTACAAGCGACTTTTCCCCATATACTGTCGTTACTGAGATCCTTTTTTAAATCGAAACCGGCTAGCTTATTGTTCAATTTAGAGTATAAATTGAAAGGTAAGTCATTGTGTCTGCAACAACGTAAGAAAAACAATCGATTCATCTTTATGTGACAACAATCGTGACTTGCAATTAGTAACGATGATTTATTGTCTCTCATTGTATCGTCGGATAACATGCTCAATTATCTTGAAACAAGAATATACAATGCAGCGCTGATAAATCTGAAAGACAATTAATCGAAAGATCGATTATGTAGAGATTAATTGGAAAGGAAAACTGAAAAATAATATTGTATACTATAGAACAGTGAGATTCAAAAAGCAATAAATTAGACTAATTGAAGTGGCCATAAGTGTCAAAATACGTTAGTAAATAGATATTTGAACTTGAAAACAATTGATTTTTACAATGCCAACTTACTGTATGGATTGAGATAAATGGTTATTGTTGTTAGGGAGCTATATTTTGCAAATAATTTCAGGGGTGTAATTTAAATATGTAAATTTTATAATTTGACACTTCTCTCAGATATACAGCTTGATTTAATCGTAGGTAATATTAGGAACAAATCTGATACAATGTCTGTTCGTAATGCGGTAATTTGAATCATTCCTGAAGTGATAACAAAATAGGGAAGAGATAGTGCGACAGCTATATAAGTGATACAAAACAAATCTAACATAATATTGAGAATATTAGATACGGGATATTAAATTTCGAAAGTGCGTGTCATTGTTCTGTACAGCATTTATGTATCGTTAGTGTATTATTTATATTATAAAACATTGGATGAGAAATAGCCTTATTTCGAGATAAGTTTCAATCTCGATAATGTTTGTTAAATGTTGTATCACGAAGGAACTGTAGATTTCTCATTAATAATCTTATAATCATGAGAGTTAATAATTGTAGTACTATAAAATTGAATTATCATATTTAATAGTTTACTCCATTATAACAGTTTGTGTTCTATTCTACTATACATCCTATTTTAATAAAAACTATCGGAAAACTCTCACAGAAATTTTATGAAGTTTGAATTCTACGTAATTGCTTGTTTATTTACAAGACATATCGTATTTCTCATGTAATTAGTAATTACCACGCTATATCCGTCTAGCTGGATGACTAACGCATCACGGTGTTCCATCACTTCCTGTTGACCGTAACAACATCGTCAAACAGTTCAAGGTTTCAATTTAGGTCAAAGCATTAATCTATTGACAACTGTAAGCACATCAGTAAGCTCTTTGCAAAGTGGTCACTGGCATTCGGCCGACATTGGCACTGTTATTTGAGATATTTACTTTTTTTATTTATCGTTTGATATTAAAACCCTCAAAATAATAATGTGATTCCATTATGATAACAAATTTCACATCGTTACGTTTAAAGATGATTAAAGTTTAACTAGATCACGGTTCTTTATACAAATCCTATTTTGGAGGTTTTAAGAATAGATATCGATGAGGAATTTCTTTCTTTTATTAAATTACAAAGAATTTGGAAATCTTATGACTAGACTCCGGATGTTTATGCAAATGCATATTTTTATAGAAAACGGATAGAACAATAGGATCTGAGCAGAAATATGTTTTATGATTAGAGAATTCTGAAAATATATTTTTTATTTTGCACTTTTTGCATAATGCATATGTTTTTATGTTTTATATTGAAAAACATGTGCAATAACTTATTGCATATGTTATTTGCCCTGTATATATCTTTCGTGTTCTTAAGAAAAAAGTTTGTGCAATATAAATACTGCTACACAGAAAAGATGAGCAGCTATAGACAAGTTTAAAAAGAAATAAATTTTACGTGAATGTAACGCGAGCAATGATTGCTGTTAATATGCGTGTATTAATTAGTGTGTCTTAAATAACGATGTATGGAGGAATTTCCTAAATATACAGACCGCATTGTGCAGGATGAATCGACACTACGAAAAAATTACTTGGACGATTGCTATGATTCAAGTATTCAAAATTCAATATTAGGGAAGACATTGCGGATCATTTTATGTGGATTTCTGTGGATGAAACCACTAATGCAATAGGCCAGTGCATTGCAAACTTAGTGGTAGGAAATCTCTGCGGTATCTCGGTTTGTGAATTCAGCCCTACAAATATTACTACTGAATAGTATTGAGGAAAGAATTCTTTTACTGGTCACAGATACAGCAACATACATGATCAAGGCAGGAAAAGAACTAAAATTATTTTACGAAAATATGGTACACATTACATGTATAGTGCATGGTTTACACAGAATTGCGAAGGAAGTACGTCTTCACTTTCGACCAGTGAATAAATTAATATTATCAATAAGCAAGGTCTTTGTTAAAGCACCGCTTTGTATTGAAATGTTCCGAAGAATATTAAAAAATATGTACTCCTCAACCACCGGAACCTATGTTAACTAGATGGGGTACGTATATTGAGACGGCATTATTTGATGCTGAACATTTAGAAAAAATGCTTGTCATTTACTGTAACTCGAATTACAATATGTCACAATAAATCGCAAAATGTATTGTTCATGTTGAATATTTTCATTGCAAATTTGCATATTTTCCTGCATATTTGCATATTTTTCGTGCATAAATTGTATATGTTTCTTACATATTTATTGTGCATAAACATCCGGAGTCTACTTATGACATTACCATTTTACACGTTTATATATGTATGTGTGTAAATATTATAGACGTATTAGGTTACAATGGTATTATGAAGAATGGGATAAGGTGGCCATAATAATTTCAGAAAAACGCCCAGGTTTCACTAATTGCGAAGATGTTATAGAACATTGTGGCAACGCCACACCGCATATGGATATATGTATAGAGTCACATAAAAAACCTCTGTGAATGGAATTGGAATATTGTAAGGCATTTCCGATTTTCACCAGACATTGCTTCATTAGGCTTTTATGACTGCGGCCAAACTGCAAACTGTGATACGTCCAACTTTCTGTTAAAATTGAGATATGTGCTCTTCAATATGTTTCTAGGTGAAATTTAGAAGTTGACGAGTGATGACATCTTTGTATCTTGTAGTTTAGAAAAAAGGCGAGGTGACAATTCATGCTATAATTTTTCACGTGTAAACAAACTTTAAAATTGCTGTACTGTAACATTAGGAAAACCACGCATCACGTTTTGCCAACTGACCACATATTTATTCTGTTTGAAGACAGTTTTAATGGATGACCAGTTTCATTCGTTTGAAGTTTCAAAAAGCCAAATCTCTTCATTTTTAGCGGGTACATCAAATACCTGTCATAACAAAAGGAACAAATTTTTCCAGAACGATGGACAAACGTCATAGATAGTCGTGGCGACTATTTGATTGACTAAATAAACGATTTTTGATAAAGTAACGCAGTTTATTCGTTTCCAGCAAGGCCTATTGAAACTTTCGCACTCACCATTCTCTTGCTAAAACGCGACGATATACACACATCAAGGCTTACAATTTGCAAAACAAGAAATTAATTGATCCACGAAGATTTGAACCGTCACTAGATTGGGGTCTTCCACGCGAAATCGGACACCTTTTGGAGCACCATTTCGGATTTTGTTCCAATTTAGATATGTTGCAGTCTTTATCGATATATAAATGTATCTCGAAGGATTTTTTACAATTTAAGAAAGTGTAGATTTTACAGCTGTTTGAAATTTAAGGTCAACCTTTTTTCAATAAATCATAACTATTGAACTAACAAATTGATCCAAATGAGCTTTGCGGGTAATTACAGTGGAGACATAAGAGTACCAATAAAAATTATTTCAGTTAAAAAAAGATATTTTTCAACCATTTATATTGCAATTGTTTTAAATAAATGCCCTGTTTTTATACTGTCGAACCATTTAAAAATTTAAAAAAAATGAGGATATAGGCCTATTTGTCCTCTTCATGGACATATCTTCAAAAATATGGACATTTTAAAATTGGCCGTATGAAAATTAATTGAAGTGGTAAGCAAACGTAGGTTTGCATCCTTCATTAAACACGCATGCCGAAACTCAGGCCGAAGTTTTAAGAACTTTTCTTCAATGAAACATATATTTCGGAGCGACCTGCCATGTACTTAGTGACAGTTTCGTTATAATTTCAAGTATTTAGTTCTATGCAACGTGTTAAAAGTTCATCAGAAGTCAAGTTTTCATGTATTGGCTTTACGATTTCTTGTACTTTTAAATCTAATCTTTCGAGTACTACCGGTGGTTGGCACGTTAAGGTCATTCACATGCTTGCAGAATCTATACTTCTGCGAATTTTTTACTGTAACTATGAAGTAGCATTCTTGAGATGTTATACAATGAAAGTACACAATAAAAAAAAATAGATTTTTCCGAAAAGTTTGAAAACAGTCATGTGACCGCGAGAAACCTATAATTTTGATCACTTCCTGTTACTTAATTCTCAGTTTCTTTAACTGTCTAAATTCTTAAGGAGCCTTAATTGGAATATTATTTACCCATGAAAGTAGAATAATATGTACACAGAAATCTGTAATCTCTACCGTATTGAAGAAAACTATTTGGCAGTTAGGTTTGTTCCTCTTGTGAAAAGTGATATTACCAGTGAATTAGATTACCTGTCATACGTTTTGTACAGGAATGTACATGCTTTAGTTTTGCAACAGAAAGATTACAAGAATTTGACGACATTTCAGAGTGGACGTACTAAAAAATAACCAATTCTTGACTGCATTGCGGATTGGTCACCGATAATCGACACAGCATTTTCTGTTGATGCTACGTGGATCACTGGTGTTCGCCATGTAGCATGAATTAAATGTCAAATAATACAATCGGCGTGAACAGAAAGTCCGCCGAAATACGATTTGCGGTGAACGTGTTAAGCAAAAACTTGAACCTTGAAACCTTAATTGCTGACAATTTGAATTCCATCGGATAATTTTTCTCAATATAACGTGACGTCGACACTGACTTACCCGTCGATGAGTGGCACCGAGTCCAGGGTGTCGCTTCCTTTAAAAGTACTAACGTTCAGTCCTACGGAGAGGCCAATAACGAGGAGTAACAGTGACAGGCCCGCGGCTACGTTCACATAGACCATCTTGCCAGTGCAAAACTTAGCTATGATACCTGAAAAAGAGTCGGTGGCAAGTATATCACAATGACTGAAGAGTACTTTCGATAGATACTGGTTTTATAGGATCGGTCGATAGCAACCAATTAATCGATTTCTTATCTATTGACATTCCCATTCACACGAAACGACCGCGACGCTTTTGTTTGATCAAGATGGAAGTTTTTCAATGTTTGTATAGGGACTCGACGGGAATGCAAGTTTTGATTTTAACAGACAGAATGATTTTATCTATTTGTATACGTTGGTGCTCCTTTTGATCTTTAACACGAGTGTCGTGAGTTTCAACAATTTTCTGCTATTGTAATCAAGGTTGCTTGTACGAAATAATATCACTTTCGATTTATAAGAAGTAGCAGTTTTTGACATTTTTTTTACTGTTTAAAAAGTTGATATTTTACGTTGACGATACGAAGGTTGAATTAATGGTAATTAATTTCTAGGTAGAATAAAGTCATATGTGGATCAATTTGTATTACTATACGATACTCATTAGTTATAAGTAATATTTCACAAAGCAATCATATTAGTTAATTAATGTGTTCTTGTGTAAAGTTAAGAACGTATTTAACAATTCCAGAACATTGCAGAGTTGCACTTCGGAATTCTTTACAGTAAGAATGACATTTTATAAGTGGCTGCAGATAATTTCATATGACACAAGTAAAGTAATGGTAGTAAAATTTTTTAATTCGTGAACACGAACAATAATGCGTTGGATAAATTACGAATGTACTGTCCCACTTACAGTAATAGTGAATATATAAGATAAAACGCTATTTCAACTAGTCTTCAATTAATTTTTCATTGTTCTTTTCACCCAACGAGATTTTAGAAAGACGAGTTAAATGTTTGCTTCAATCTCTATTTTATACAATAATCTGTAAAAATCTACATTTACAAAAGCATCCGTAGTTTTAGAAAAAGTTTAACGTTTGCAATATTTTCGTGAAATTATTTTTCCATTGTGCTTTCAATAGACGCATATTACAGGAAGAAGCATGTCACTTCAAAATTTGTAATTTACAGAAATTAAATAAAACTGATAACTTTCAGTGAAATTAGGCACCGTTTCTCACTAAACTACAATACGCCCTTGTTATGCTCTCTCAATGAACTCCAGTAACAAACTGGCTGGCTAGCGACTCTTTTGGGCAGTGATGCCTACATAGTATGCTCGCATATAGTGAGTAGTGACGCATGACCAATACAAAACAATGTAGTCCAAACTTCTCGCGTGGTGTTCACATTTAGCTATTTCAATTGCGTTTAACACTAGAACTATCGACGATTATACCTGTTCTTATAAGATCTGTAAAAATGGCAGCTTTCTTAACCCTTTCATTCGCATATTGTCTATGGTCTGTTTATCGAAAGAAGATGCCTGGGAGATAGGCCTGCCTCGGCATGGCCTGGTGGGGATCCAACGCGAGTTGCGTATTTCGTGCGACGTTGTCACGGTCTCAATGTCACTGTGTGTCTCTTTCCATCCTCCGGTACTTCGGCATGAGAGCCTCTCGCTCAGACGCTCGGTAAACCAACTTCCCTCTTTACCCTGCGATTTCCACGTGTAGCGTTTAATAACTTACGTACGTCACAAACGACATATAAGAATAGACCTAACATCTTATGGGACGTGGTGTCCCACGAAAATTACGCTGGTTAGAGCGCACGTCTACATAAAAGTTTCCGATATCAGAAATTACATTCGACACCGTGATAACGCACAGCACACACACATCCGTGACTGCATATAGCGATGCCTACATACATTATTGCCCCGATTTCGCTAGCAAGGAATGGAATTCTGAAATGGTACAGGGGCTTCTGACACTCCCGAAGCATGGCACAGAAAATTACATTGCATGTTTGGTCTATCCTTATATCTCGTCAGTGCCTACGTATTAATTTAATCCCTTTTTAATACGTTGCTCAATATTTGGGTACAATACATCCTTTCAAAAGAAATAAACTTTTTCTTATTCATGTATTTTAACTCTTGACGTGTGAAAATGTTCAGCATCTCGTCAACATTTTCCGCCATTTCCGTGACAATGGATGATTGACGGACGTGTGCAGAACGCAGTCCCCACTACTTGAACTTGTAGGTAGGTCCTTCTCGAGAGGTTGTAATACGTGCGATGGAGACAGACGACCGTAGACGAGGACGCACGTCGACGGTCGAACGTCATTGGCCAAGACCCAAAGACTGAGAGAGACATAAGTGCCGTATATGTCTCGCGATCGCGACAACACCGCGAAAAGTCGGGCCTACCTCCCAGGCATCTTCTTCCGATTGACAGACCATAAGAAGTATCAAAGAAATATTTTGTTGTATTTTTGTGTATATTACATGATACATAGATGATTTATAAGAACATTTTAACATTTTGGAACCGTCCAATCATACTTTTATTTGTTGTCGTTTGACAACATTTTTACTTTTATTACAGTTATACAGTATAATAATGCCCATTATAATATTATTATACATAATGAAACCCAATTTTTCTTACCTTCGATGAATAACCCCTCTTGAAATATTTGAAAACAATTAGAGTTTTGAAAGTTTTTATTATATTTGTAATAATGCTAAAGACTTGAATTCCATTGAATGAAACAGACAAAGGACAAATAATGTCTTATTTTACTTACAAACTTCTAAATACAGATTCAAATTTGTGCCATACCATCTATACAAGACCAGGAGAAACTATAATATACTCACAAATATGAAAAAATACATGATACTACCTAATATTTTATTTCGTAATTTAGCATGCGTAGCCATATGGCAACAGCGGAAACGAAAGTGTTAAAATCACAAATTTATATAATTTCTCTTTTTGTATACAGCAATGGAAGTTACGAACGACCTTAAAAAATGCACTGTTATAACATTAAATAATGTTTATAAGACTTTATGTTATTTTGACTGCTTGGATAGTTCTATGTAGTAACAAGGGATATGAAGGTTTATACAAACTACAAAAATGTGTAAATTATTATACTCGAGTTATACACAAACACAATTACTTCTTTTTATAAATAACGTTTTATTTACAACAGTTTTGCGTTGTTTCAGTATGTAATAGGTATTTGCTTTATTTTTAATTGATAAATTAATGCAATTCAACATAAAAAATAAAAATAATTAATTCAATATTTTTGGACAAAAACTAAAATATTGTGAAATATATAGGTTCACAAAACTAGTTTTAGAGATAATGAGTATGATTTTGTAAAAAGAAAATGACAGATCGTCGACTTAAAATTTCATGCTCATCTGACTAGAGTGACCGTTTGTAGTGTATATTAACTACAGTAATGTATAATAAAATGAAGCCGTTGTTTGATTTTCGACAATTTATTGTTTTTTTTGTAACTAGCACAACAGGACAGCCTCCGATAGTAATGGTTATGTAAGTAATACTTTCCCTTAACCCATTTGAGGCCAATCACATACCTGGTGTGTAATGCTGTCTCTAGGTGAAAAGACCAATGACATACCGTGTGTGTAATGATCATGGATTTATAATATGAGTTATAAAAATGTTGGCTCCTCGGGACCAACTTTCGAAAAGTCGCTGGCCTCGAGTGGGTGAACCGTTCACCAATTTAAGTATTCACTATTTCTTTCTCTTTAGGTGATAAAGTAGTGGATTCCTATCTTTTCTATACAATGCACTGGACTTCCCAGATGTATGAAGTTCAATCCACTACATGTAGTATGGAAGAACCTCTTATATCTATTGAAACCAACCAGTAGAAACCAATTGAACGATTAACGGCTGATTATCGTCTTTTATACAGAAGTTGAATGCGTATTGTGATCCAATCACATAAATTATTATTTATTTCTAAATTCATCATATTAAAGATAGGCTATAATCGCATTTGTATAGAGTCGTTGTCCACATTTCCTAGTGTGCAATTGATTAAAGTTAGTGATAATGAATTATTGAAAATTAAACAGTCGTTTCATGTTCCTATAGATATTTTCAAACTAAGCCATTGTTTTAAACGATAAGATTGGAATATTTTACGAACAAATAAATTTCCACCCCCCCCCACACCTCTAGCCCACATTTCTAATATCGTTTACTTTACTGATTTTTGCTATTACTTGGATGTTTAAAAAAAATCTCGTGGATCTCGCAACACTAGATTATTGAAACACAAGTTTTGACAAAACAATATTTTCAATCGTCAAATCAATTCCATTGCGATCTATGATTTCACAAATATTTCGTACGGTGTTAGCAATTAAGCTGTGCAATATGTTCCAATACACCGTGATATAATGCGCGTTATTAACTGAACAGAATCTTTCCTGCATAATGTGACGTTTAATTCACAGTGATTCTTTCTGACCATGGCATAACCACAGATGAAACGCAAGCAGATTATGATAATTTAATATTAAATGACGCAACATAACAAACGTGTCGAACCGTTCCACTTTGACTCCGCGATAATTGATTCACCCATGCTGGAATGTGGAGCAGACTGTTCTTCCGATGACACTATTCACACACGATCTCCGAAGATAACTCGCTTAGTTACGCCTTTTAGCACGTATCTCCTGTGCACGCCGATGTTCTCTATATAGGTGTGTAGAGCAGATTAACCAGAGTTTACTTTTCACTCTCTACATGTATTGCTTGGAGAGAGACTTACGCATGCTTCTGCTGTCTTCACGAGGCCGTTTTTGTTGTGTTGATTTTTCTATCTACGCTACGGAATAACATGTATATCGTGTATCGTACTTGTTTCACTTGGGTACGTATTACGGGCTCGTATAACGAAATATTGCCATTTTATGGACTAGTAAAGACATTAGATTCTTCAAGTGTTATATTGGAAACTGATTTCACGCGTTCTTAATGTGATCTGTGTTAGCACGTTCTCTAGCATTTGTTGGTACAATTCGTGCGAGACAATGGTACAGTTTCAATGTATATGTTGAATACGATAAACGTTTTAACACGGTTGTCACCAACAGATTACTATGTATACTATTCATTTGTAAAAACAGATTTCGTTTGAATGTGACTTTATTAAATTAAAGTCGGTATCAGTGATCAAGTGAGTATAGTAATATTTTAAATATGAAGTGTTAAAGTAAACATAAATTCAGTGATTTGACAATTTTGCGTGATTATATTCAATTACGAGGTGTATAGGTCTGATACGAGGATTTATACGTCTGATAAGAATAATTCTTATCGCATTGTTTGATTACCGTCGCTCCTTTTTATCTATTGCCTAGATCAGTTGTGTGTTTAATACATGTATCAAAACTCTATTCTACCATCGGTTTAAAGATTTTTTTAAATTATTGCGCACTTTGCTATAGATTCATCTGAATTTTGTTTATCTATTACGTACCTGTATTGCATATCATATAAACTGTTTCTACCTTCTGTGTTAGAAATTATTTGATCATAAGTTTTTTAACATATCTTTAAATGCTAATATCTCAACTTCATAAATACTGACATTAGTACTTCTTGTACCAAGCCACAGATGTATAGTATACTATACATATAGTATCAGTGACTTCGTCATCGAAATTTCTGACTGATTTATCGTTCACGCTTTCTGTTTTCTGTAAGAAACATGTTGTATTACATATGTAGTCTACGAATTATGTGTAGGAGGAATCGAAAATCGTTAGTACCCTGCCTCTACCCACGTGGCAAAGTGAGTTTATTCGCAAAGATGGCGCAGATCAAAAGTAGCCTCAGTAAAAGCCCAATCCCGTATATTATGTATACGGTGTCGAGCAAACTCGGCTTCCACTAGGGAAAAAAAAGGCGTAGAAGAAAAATCTTCTACCACTTGGCCAATTTATTCCAGGTAGTGAAATAAATGTTAAATCGAATGTTAGTTTGGCATACATTTCAGTAATAAGGAGACCCTTTCCCCACAGTGACGTAGGGAAGGTCCTCCTGCTATTTGATATTGAGAATTATTGAAATATATGTCAAATTAACATTCGATTTATCATTTATTTTAGTACTTGAAATAAATTTACTAAGTGGTAGGAGACTGTTCTTCTATGCCACTTCTTTCCCCAGCGGAAGCAGAGTTTCCTCGTCTGTGTACATACAGTAGACATTCGTTTTCCGCACTAGTCGGGGGCTGTAGCGGGCCAGAATTCCAGGAACGTGCAGGAAGCAGACGCCAGTTACCCGAGCGCTTTCCCCACCACTCGGCCGTCAGTCAGGCGACGCAGCTATATATAGGGTGGGCTGGATACGCGCAATTTACGGTTACATTAATTATCTCCGTTATGTTTAGAGATATCAGAAAAGTTTATTCACAGAAGTTGTTCAGTGTGAAGAGGGCTATTACGTAGCAGTAACAAGTTTTTCGTAGGTGGAGTGTCTTCTAAGTTTTCAAAGTTAATTATGTTATTTTTATTAATGATATTGAAGTATTATGGAATAAAATACTTTTATTACATAAATCGATTCTTCCAAACATTCTGCGTAATAAAGTATTAAAGTATTATGTGAAAAAGGTAATAATTCGTGACATATTTTAGTAGCAAATGTCTAGCTTGGTTAGAATCTTTTACCCATTACGTGTGATCCGCGAGACAAGAAGCAATCAAATTGCCACCAATATTCATTCCACCAATATCATTGCACCAATAAAAACATTATTAAAACAGTATTATGTATACTGCGCTTTTCCGTGATGAGATATACAAGTTAAACGCGACACCGTATGTGTTCCTGCCTGAGCGTACTGGGCGACAGAGCACGGTACGCGCACGTGTGTGAGATATACGTATGAGCAAGGGGCGTGGCTTTCGTACAGATAACGGTGGCGCGGGAAACGAATGTCTACTGTATACAGATCAGTGTTTCATGTTCATACCACGCCGTCTACGGCAAAAGACTTAAGCTAGTAACCATTTCGTATTGCATCTTTAACACTGGATGGAGCAACCATGTCTATCTGATAAAGTACAAGCGCAGACGAGATATATGTAAGGGGGTAGACTCCTTCGGGGCCAACTCTGAATCGATCGAAGGGCTAATGTAAACAATCGGACGCTAGCGGAAACACATAATCGATATTTGGGACGGCTTGATAATACGACATCTAGCAGTACCCACAAATAAATTTTGTTCCCCGTTACCATCAAGTTGGGTTTGTGTATTTGCTATGCGAAGACAGTGTTGCCGTACAGTATCGTTTTTCTGACGCTGTTGCCTCATGTTCCGCATGTGATTCTGCCGTGAGTAGAACAATGGAATAGCTATGGCCTACGGCCTACGGCTCGTGGCGAGATTTGGATTCTCGCCGAACGTAGGAAAAGAATGGCGCGACCGAAAGAGATTCGATAATGAAACAATATTTACGTACTAATGTGTGCAACGATAAACCTTTTCTATTCGTACTTGTAATAATGCTTATTTTTTAAATCAATGGAATTACATACGAGATATTTGACATGGTATTCCCGAGAAACAAATTGTAAAAATGGCACAATATATATTCCGGGTATTCCACATACAAAAAATATGGAATACTATACAAATCTCTTGTTGGAAATGATATTTATTTATCCTTTATTGACATAATTGATATGGGTATTATAGGCGTACACATATATTTTATGCAACGGACGCAAAAAGAACATTGAATGGACAACTTTATTCGATGAGAATTTATGCAATGAACAAAGATACTTTTTTTTATTTCTGAAGCAAATATTTCCTCGTTTTTACAAAAAGCCATTAATTTATCCCAAACGCGTCTCCAGAAAAGTTAAATTCTACATCTCGGACAAGGCGGATAGCAAGCAGCGCGAATATTTTTTACTCTTTGAGAGTTGTACTATTACATAGACTTCAAACGAAATGAATTTTTAAAATTAAATCACCGAAAAATAGCTCCAAAGAACGGGTCATTTTTGATTCTGTTATATTGCCGTATAGACCATTCGATAACTGTAACTTGGCTATAAATTTTAAAACAAAATATTTTACTCTAAGTTAATTAGAAGTTGTAATAATTTGTTTTTCTTTGAAAAATCACTGTAACGTCAATTGTTAACATTAAGAGTTGAAATTTAGACGAACTTAAAGAGTTACATTATCTGTTCCTTAATTTTTGGAATAATCCATTCAGTGGCTTCTCTTATAAAAATCATAAAGATCCAGTATGCAACCGGAGGGCACGCGGCGGCAGCGGATTGGGGAGAGACCGCCGCGCGACAAGCTTGTGGTGCCTGAAATTAATCTCGCCCGTTTTATCTAGCGGACCCTAAAAAATTGAGGTTTTCTGTGCAACAAATTAACGTAGAGCGATGATTTTTTTGGGGTACCTCGTCGAGATATTTAGAAATAGCGTGACCAATTCTATAAACAATTAGTTAAAACCCAAAATTTTTACTTCTTTTTAGAAATTTTTTCTACTGATTTGTTTATTAAGCATAAGTTATAAAAAAGAACAAAACTTGTCTTATACGACTTACATTTGTAAGTCCCATGTATATTCAACACCTAATAATTTTAATGTTAAGATGTGAAATATGAAAATATGTTTGAGATATATCACCATAGTTTGCGTTACGCATTTCCTCTGTAATTCTATTCTTCTTACATACAATCTCTTATAATCAAAGACATCGAGTAAACCTTCGAACAACTTTTGCCAGTACCAATAATTGCGCTGTCGAGCGATGATCGCCGAAAGTCAGACTGGCGATCGTCCATCGGCATAAAATGTAAGCAGACGTAGATGAGATAAGGAATGACGCATGAATGAAAATTTAAACTTCTACAATTTGCAACATATATTAATGAAAGTGTCATGAATGAATTAAAGAGATTCTCCCGGTTAAAATGCGTCCAAATTCGAATGTACTTGAATAATTTTGACTCATACGTAATGTTGCGGATAAAAATAATATATTATTGAAAATAGTCCGAATGATGTCGTATTTGGACTCATTTCCACTGGCAGAATCACCTTAGTTCATTCGTGACACATTAATGAATGTATACTGAAAACTATAAAAGATTAAATTTACATTCATGCGTTTAATTCCTTATCTGTTTACATTGTATTTCGATCGTCGGTCGCTGGTCTTTTACGTTCAGGCCTCGGCCTCTCGCTCGACGTTCAAGAGCAAGGTTATTCTTTTGCTGGCCAAAGCTATTCGAAGGAACAGTCAAGCGACAATGTCAACACGTGCGCTTCCCGTTCTTTAGCCGACGATGAGCTGAGACAGACAAAAAAGTTTAAAAGGCCGCGTACCGATGTGATTCATATTGCACTATCCAAAATTCTATGCTGTTTATTTATTCACGGTATATTACAGTCTAGTCTGTATATATGAACTAAAATATGACTCAATCGACTTTGATTTCTACCACTTTTTAAATAACTTCCTCAAAGAAAAGAAAAATGATTTCGAGAACAACAGGATATTGACACTGACAGACAACACTTTCTTGTTCTCAGAAGTAAGATTTTCATGTAGGTGAAATAAATACACTTTCATCGTGATAATAAATTAGTACCGAAACGTGGAAATGTACTGTTTTATACATATTAGATTAAAATGAATGGTATAAAAACGAGGAAATCGTCAGGATATCTTAATAGACAGCAGAGCAATAATGATACCTCTAAAACGAACAGAAATATAAAATTGACTGTGCCATTTTCCCATTGTTCAGGAATGAGGCTCCTACCGAATTCGGCAGCCTTCGACCAGCGCGAGATAACCATTTGAATGTCCCGACGCTATTGGCGTAATTATCGCGATTACCGCGTGCGGTTATCGCTTATAAACTGTTTTAGCTGGTTAGGTAATGCGTTCCACAGAATTCGTACGTACGTGTTTCAGTTTATTTATTAAATTAATGTTGACACAGGTTATTGTGTATGTCGTACAGTGAGAGTTGTGTGTATGGGCAATAGTACCTATCTATGTATATAATAATAGAAGTAGAATTATAATTAATCCATTTAAATACAATTGCGACACGCGCGATCAGAAGGCGTAAAGAGCAGTTCTACATCTCGCGTCTCAATATTTATTCTTTTACACAAATTTTTATTTCCTTCTTCTTACGCGTCACGGTATTCACATAACAGATACAAGGAAGATAGAATGAAATTTTGATTCATTTTGTGCGTACATATTACATATATGCGATATAATTTATATAATTATCTTTTTGTTTTAATAGCGACGATGATTGTTTCTCGATGATCTTTCTCTTTTTCTAGTTGATTTGCCTTTGCTTTCATTCTTTTTTTGTGTTCGTTGCGATGGGTACCGCGTCTCGTTGGCCAAGTATCTTCGAATTTACGACGGGTCATTGGGCGCTGTCACGGGTGAATAATGGGGCGGTGCAGTTTCCTTAATATTTACGTTTCACGATGTTTGCTGTGCGTCCCGTTGGAAACTCTTCTCGGCCCTCGTGCCTTACGATGATGTATCGGGGCTCTTCCGTTGTTTCTTTTTTTCTTTTTCGTCGTTTGCTCGTTACGCCTGCAATTCGGAGAAGACGATCAACTAATTATTCGTAGACTTTTTTCACACGAATATTAATCCTTTCGTCTGCCACAAAGTGACATTTATCTATTATGACCTACTATATTGCTCTCTTTAGTTAAAATGCCCTGTGTAACAAATTATCTTTTCTCAAGTTTATCACTTTTTAATTAAAGTTATAATGGCCTGCGTGCTTTCTACGGCGCGAGAAATAATTTCATTAATTGTATCATCTATATTTCAGATCATTTTACTGGTTTATATTGTCCTATATAACATCAATTAATAAGTTAGTTAGTCCTAAGTTATTACATGAAATACAGATAGAATACTTACGTAAGGTGTCCCAAAAAGATGGGACAATACACAACATGCATATTCCCCATGCAAATACAAATCGAAAAGTCCTTTACCATTTTGTAATCTGAAGCTCCATTTTCGAGATATATTGGCAGTTAAACGAACTCACAAGTATGCGCAGACACAGTCAAGAAGCGCAGACCTAAGTCACGGGTCTCTGCTTCTTAACAGTGTCTAGGCGTACGTATGGCCCACCGGTCAGCTGATTGGAGTTCGTTTAACTGCAAATGTATCTCGGAAATGGAGCTTCAGATTACAAAATGGTAAAGGACGTTTCGATTTGTATTGACATGCGGAATATGTATGTTTCGGATGGCCCCATTTTTTTGGGTCACTCTATATATAAGTGACGTGCAAAAAGAAATAAAATAAAAACGATTTAAACGGTTTCCTATATTAAAATGGCTTACGATGAAAAAGAAGCTCAGCGTAAAGAAATTGATGACACCCCATTTTTCTGGGATGTTTGAAAATTTTTGTTACTAAGTCACTAGTCGCGAAATAACCACTATACTCTATTTATTAATAGCTTTTTATCGCTCTAAAACGTGCGTGTGGTCCCATACAAGCGTGCGTTTCGCGGTAGATATGGTCGTGACGAAAGGGTTAGAAGCAAATTTAATGAAACGTGGACACGTACGTTTCTAAAGACGACGAGGTGGCGTTCGAAGTGGCAAAGGATGGGGGTGTCGATGGCGGTGGCGTTTTTACATGTCAGTCCTCGTCTCCTGGACGAGGTACACCTGGGAACCGGGCACAGTGGAGGTGGTGACGAAGCTACGGTGTTTCGCGCGGATCAGAGTCAAGTTGCTCTCAGCGGTGTCTGCGCGGTCCTCTGCGGCTTCGAGCTCCCTTTGGAATCGGCGGACCCTGGTCACGCTCTGCTGGGACATGCCTTCTTGTTCCTGGAGCTGTCTCTTGTAGATGTTCACCTTCTGGCTGGCCTTGTCCAGGGATTCTTGCAGCAGCGCGATGTTCTTCGAGTCCTCCTCCACCTGGATCATCACCTCCTTGATGTTGCGCTCCTTCTTGCGTAGGATCTTCACGGTCTCAGAGTGTCGGCGTTTCTCTTCGTCCAATTCGAGTTCCAGATCGCGAATCTGCAGAGGTGAACGAGGTTCAATGAAATGGTATCTCGAACTACACTGCTCAGAACAATTAGGGGATTGCTACCGTGTACGGTCAAATTGCTTCATCTAATCCAAGGAAATTAAACAAATGCTTGCAGATCTCATAAGTTAGATCTTTTGCATACAATACTGACGTCTAGTTTCGATCTATAAAAAGGTTTCCAGGAATTATACGTGGTATTGACAGACACAGTACTGCAATACAGGATTCTTTAAGTCTTTTGAGCAGTGTATTATGAATTCGCTGCGGATGTTTATGCAAATCTAAGTCTTCATGAATCAGTTTACAAAAACTGTGATAAAATAGATATCTCTTCAGTTCTTTAAGGGTTTCATCAGACTTGAAATTAATGAAAAGCCACGTTATATTTTATTTATGTTTTTACTGTACTGAATTTTAAACAACCGACTATGCTATAAATACATAAAAGCCGCAGTCTAATTCTGAAATAATAATTTATACTAATGGTCTGGACGAAACGATTTTGTACCTTTTTCTTTTCTTCACTAACTAACTCTCAACGTTTCTCATGTTTATCGAATCGTTCTTTACAAAGATTTATGTGTATAAATATTTGGACTGATCACTTTAGAACTTTCAAATTTTCTACGTTAACATGATTTTATAATTGGAGCAAATATTAATCAAGTAGTTGCCAGTCCAAGGCAACTTCTTTCTCGTTGATGATGTAAAAGCAACTTTTCGTCCAATATTCGTTTACATTTGCATTAACTGCTGACAATAAACGTCAACATTTGATACTACTATTAATTTATCCTCCGTATATCCCATGAAACACAAAGAGTACTTTCGTTTTATTCAGGATAAATTTAAATGTCGCTTCTAATTCGTACTACAGTTTTTTTCCAAATATCCACTTCTCGTCGCCCGTTTGTATTTCTCTAACAAGTGGAATCTTTAACTAGTGGTAATACAAACAAATTTTTTGTTTACAAATTTTTGTTACTAAATCATTTTCATTGAATGTTTTCGATCATTTCATAGATTGCGTTGAAAATCTTTATTCAATTGAATTGTAAAATACATAGAATACCTCGAACTGTTTTTGTAGACTGATAAAGGTTAGATTGTCTAGAATTAAACTGACTTGCATGTATATGAACTATTTACAAGTTACACTTTAGCGTTATAAATTTTCGCGAGTACTTTACTTCCTAGCAACTTAATAGTTATCTGATATAATGTTAAACATCTTACCCTAGCCTCAAGTTTGCTGATGATACGCTTGCCTCCAACGATAGCGTTAGCTTCAACCTCCTCCAATCTCACGGACAAGTTCTTCACTTCGATCTCGAGAGACTTCTTGATGGCCTCGATCTTCACGATACGCTCCTGCTCCTCGTGGAGGATCTCCACGGTGTGCTTCAGCTCGGTCTGCACTCGCTGGTATCTCTCGTCGCTCACTCTCAATTCTTTGGTAACTTCTTCATAATCGCCAGCCAATGTTGCTAATTCCTGCTCGATCTTGGCTTTCATTGATGCAAGGTTCACGTTGATGGTGGTCAGTTCGTTGATGCGGCTAACCGATTCCTCGTATTGTTGCTCGACGGTTCTCTTCGCACGGAGGGCCTGATAAAAAGTATTGTTCAGTTAACGATCAAATTATTAATTCTCCAATAATCGATCAGCTTTGCTCCGCATTTCAAGAAAAAATAAAAGAAAATTAATTTACATTTTTCCTCGATTTAGAATGGGAAATTTTAGTGGGAACAATCTAAAGTCCAATATACAGTTAAAAATGACTATTTTGCAACAAGAATCGCAAGTGGGAACGTTGTTACAGAATACTATATCGCAACAATTATTATTGCCAGGGAATTAGAAATATTTTGGTTAGGTACTTTAAACGTCAAACACAGTAGAAAAATTTCATTTTTCAAAACATTTATGAGAGTGAAAAATTTTTAATATTAGAAACAGTTCTTGTACATAATGGACTGAGACTATAAATTGTTCTTAACACAAAGTTTTGCAAAACTTAGTTTCAGAAAACTGCTTTTTAAGATTTTTAGAAAATATTCTGTAACACAGTTAAATAAAGTACAATATATTCTTATAGATAGTACTTTAATGGTGGTCATTGATGATCATGAAAGTTTCGTAATGTGCTGAATTAATATTAGAATTATTATTTACCCTCTATAACCCAAATTAATTTTTATCAGTAAAAAGATGTTTTTGTCTGTATATACCTATTCTTTACTATTGACTAGTTGAACATATGGAGCTTAACTATTCAATTTTTAAGGTTCTAGTTTTTTCGAAATAGATTTTCGACTTTATAGTCAAACCGGTCAGTAGTGCATTTGCAAATGAGCAGCCATATTGTAATTTTAAAGTTACACTGGTCAACTGTAGCTAAAAACATTCTCATTTGTTTAATAATAGTAAAATTGATATGTGACTTCAAAGCTACACGGCGTTATAAATGGTTAAGCAGTGTATGGATAACTTTAAAGAATTATCTGGTTGTTTATTTTATTAAATATTTTCTTATCGTGATATTCACACAGAATTTACCAGGAATGACCATCATGGCAGTCCTGATGCTTAAATATTGGAATGAATAAAATACTGTCCATAATAAATCAAAATAGGAAAATTGAAATTGTCAATAAACATCAAACATTGGATTTTGAATCTTTTATGTCTGCTCGCAAGACGTTAAACTACTCACAGATTCGTAGTTGCCGCGCACTTCCTCGAGCTCGGCCGTCAACGATTGGAGGCGTCGTTGACTGATGCCCAGTTGGTCCAGGGTGACTTGCAATTGGCGTTGAACTTCATCGTAGTGAGCTTGAAGTTCCTGAAAATAATACACGGACGGTTATAACACGCGTTGCCAAATGTCTGTCAGAATTAGTGGGCGATTTCTCTTACGGTCAAGGTGAGCGATTGCTTCTTGATCGTCTTCTGCAGATCGATGTTGTTCTTGTTGGCAACGTCGAGCGACAGCTCCAACTCGGTGATCTGGATCTGCAGCTTCTTCTTCACGCGTTGCACTTCGGTCTTCAGCTTGGTCTCGGCCTCGACCACGCGAGCGTTCAGCTGCTCAATCTCGATGCTGGTTTGCTTGCTACATTATTTCGTTTCATGTGAACACACCGAAACCGCGATCAGTTCTTTGTTTCGGTTTTCTCGCCTATATTATTGTGTTTTCTTCAGGCGAGACAGAGGGTTAAAAGGAGCTATGTTTCATGTTACAAGCGATCGGTTCATGATTATAGCACTTGAAAAAGAGTTATTTGTTAGCGTTCTAAAATAAGCTGCATTTGAAGTAAATGTTCCTTTTGCGGGGATTGTTGTTTCGTTAACAAGAATGTTAGCATTGTGTGAGATTTTCAGTCACGGTTTAAAAGTTGCTCGACTTTCGAGTTTGTCGATGAGTATTTGTGGAGATTTGGACAGTTATTTGATCCAGGAATCTATTCTATTGGCTTTGGTTTGTAGATTTCACATTTAGTCCCACTTTTATTAGAAAGGAGTTGTTAAAGCGTTAAAAAAGCCATCATAAGGATTTCATAGAAAATTTCATTTTTTATCGATGAATGAATCATCCGGTGCATACTACATAGATTTTGGGCTTTGATCAGTGAAAGCAACTGTGTCTTATATTCATTCGCTCCTAGTACATGTATACTAATAGAATAGTAAGCTCTAAAATGGGTGGGGCTAGTGACGATCTATTTTCAGGTTTCGGAGGTGAGCGTCTTTCAAGGCAATACACAATTCAATTAAAGTACGTTTACGAAATATACATTATTTTTCTAGTTCAAGTTTGTTATTAATATTAACAGGACTTTCTCTTGTGAAAAAAAAACGACGTAGGAAAATCATGTTAGAAGGTAAAATTCCACTATTTGCTATAATAAATTGTGCAGGCAGTATCTCAACGATACTTGTAAGTAGTATAAGTACTTGATCCTCTAAAATCTAGTGAGTACGAATTCACAGCTACTCTAACCAAAAATGCGTTAAAAAATCTTCAAAACAAGAGCTCGACGTAAATTGCCATCGATTCAGCAACCTTTTGCTACGGGCCACTAGATCTACGGATCCTTAGGATCAAATCAGTTGCATCGAGTATTCGAAAGTCTCTCTTTTATTGTTCATCATCGTCGTTCCGTGTCACATAGATCTTACCCACAACTACAAACGCTTATCTACAAGAGAATTCACGTCCATTCGAAAGTGTGTCCCTATCCCAGGCATCCGTACAACCGTCTCGGTCTCGTCGGGTGCTGATACCTCTTGTCCAGGAAATAGTTGCTCGATCTATGCTCGTATCCTTTCAGTTCTCTACTCAGGCTGTCCAACGGTGCTGTCAGTCTCTCCTCGTCGATCATATTTTTCATCAGATCTCGGGACATTCTCAGCTGCTCCCTACCCTCCCATATCGCGTTTTCGAGCAGCTGATATTTTTTTATGTCCGCGAGTTCTTGGCTTTTGTTCAGATTCTTTAATGCATCCATTCGCAGTTTGAATTCGATCGCCTTGGCCGATTTGCCACGCAAACTGTTCCTCTGATCGACGGTGGTGCGGGCCTCGGTGATCTCTTGCATGTCCTTCAAGCACTGAAGATCAATGGCGGCCATTTCTCGTTGCAGCTGTCTGGCTTGGCTTCTGACGCGGGCGCTCTCCACGAATAACGGTATAGTACTCAGCCTGATCTGCTCTAATCGTCGCGGAAATACTTCTCTGGTCACGTGGCTGGCCTGCGCTGTCTTGGACAGGCTGAAGTCCGAACGATTTGCTATCTTTGGACGAAACAACGAAAATCAGACGTTGCGTCGTAGCGGTTCGATCGCGAAGGGGCTTGCTTCGCGGGAGGGAAAGCAACGGGCCGTGATTTTCGCGAATACGTTCCGCTGCGAGGGATCGCGTTCTATCGAGCGGGTCGAGCTGAGGCCTAAACTTAGCCGCGAGCGGTCCAGAATTCGAAAGTGACCCTATGCACTCGATCGACTCCCTCTAGAGACTCGCGAACGACTGCCAGTCCGAGGCACTAAACGGCCAAGCGTCCCCGGCCGAGCGGTACGCTAGAGATGGATTTTTCATGTGTACGGGCTACGTGCGATTTGGCAGACGCCGTGCGCGATCAGTTCCCCGACGAATGGTCCAAATTATTAGCTGCCAATCGTGGTGGCCGTTCTCTCGGGCTTCCGTGATATTTTTATTGTCCCCGTTCGACGATTTCGGATTGTCAACGGTGGCAGGTGGCCGATGTTATTAATAACGATCGTCGATAACGAATTTCCGGATTTCTACGCGGCTCGCGTGAATTTAGAGTGAGGATTTTCCGTACTGGCAACCGAGACCGCGTCGCGGGACAGTCTTAAATTAATCTGCGCTGACAGTGGGGAGCTAGCGAACTGAATCGTGGTCCGATGAAATTATGAGAATCTAACGAACCTGAAGTAACTTCTGGTTACTTTTATGTGTTTACACTGTCATTGTGTTTATTGATTTATAATACTATATATAGATCTTTATATTAGTAAACTTTTAATCGGTACCGATGTTACGACAATAAACATTTTTGCAACATTTGTAATAGAACCTTTATAATCCGTGGGCAATGCCGAAAGTTACAGAAGAAGAAAATAAACAGCATACAAATGAACATGTGTAAGTAAAGAAAAAAAAATTAAAAGTTTAAAACTTGGTAAATTTACGCTGTTTTTATAAGAATACCACCACCCACTATTTGACCCAACAAAGAAAACCTTCCGTACATTCAAACAAAAGCAGTAGATTCCTTTATTTGAAACCTGCCAAGATCCCTACAACGTCAATTTAAAGTTCACGTTTAACCACTTAAGTGCTTGGTACGATCACATGGTCACAGTGACCAAGGAAAGTTATTTCTGAATTTCTTGACACAAAGCATTTACGTCACTCCGATCCCATTTCTTAAACCCACAATCTGTAACCGCAAGAATTGTCAATAACCACCGAATTCGTTGTCAAGTACTTAATGACCATAACATCCCCGATCGTATAAAACATGAAATTCAGTCTCCTATTCGGTCAACACATTCACCGCTGGCTAGGCCACTGGTGACCGACACAGGATTTTCGGATGGTCAACAGCGACCGTCGTGTAAAACAAATTCCAATATCAAATAACACAATCAGCGTAAACGAACAATCAGACGAATTGTCTCTGCGGTGAACGTGCTAAGCTACTTTCCGAAACCGCAACGAACTCATATTCCTAAACTCACATTCTCCTGTCACGAGAACCGTCACCGTCTGCCGAATACGAGGGCATTTGACTTCGAGCTAGGTGTCCACCCGAAGCCCAGCCACTTCCGCGTCACCAAATTTAGAAACCGAAAAGGTCAGGCAGTCGTCAAGTCGCACGACGCCTAAGAAAATGGGCCGTCCGTGTTTCCCGGACTAGCACGATATCCCGGTGTTGCGCGACCAGCCCGGCTTTCACTACCCAATTTGCACTTCGTACCTTGAAATTGGACAGATGATCCCTGGCGTGGTCCTCCGCGTCGATCGCGTGCTTGATCAGCTCGCGTCTCGTGTAGGACTCCACCGGCTTGTCTCCCCAGAGAAGTGTGCCATCGGACCAGGGTAATTCTGGTTTTTCTATGTTTTTGCGGTAATAATACTCCCTGTAGGGCACCGACGAGGTTCTTCCTTTCTTGTCTATGTAATCGATCATCGGCTGGTAGAAGTTTATTCCGTATTTATAATTCGTATCGTAGATGTACGTGGGCCAGTGCTTCCATTTTGGTTCCAAGGGAACGTACATAGGAGGCAAGCAACCTGCCATTTCGATACCGGTTTAGGGCGATTCTGAACTTTGGGAATCCTCTTCCTTTGGAAGGAAGAGATAGATTTAATCTCTTTTTCTGTTTATTTCTTGTTGATTTAACTTCCAACTCTTTTGATTGTTTCTTTATTAGACGACAAGGTTGACTCGAGGAGTTACTGACACCGTTCTGGTTTTTCTAATTCTGGTGGGTAACTGTTATTTGGACAGCCTGCTTTCTTTCAAAATCCCTTTGACACCCTTGCTTTAAAGGTTTATTGGTGCGTTTTCTTTCCTCTTTCCATTCGTTATTTTTCTTCGAGTAGGAACATCGATCACTTTTTCTTTAACCGACTCCTTCTAAAACGGTAGTTCGAGGGGACTGACGGTTTTTTTTTGTGCCAAGTGTCTGTGTAGGTATGTTAATTTGGCATCCAACTTTACCTTAAATAAAAATCATTAAATGTTTTCAGAGTGCTAGTTCAGAGTTTTGTTTTTGTTGTAGGATCGTTAATTTTCACGCCCGCCAATGTTATAGAGCAGGTGGTTCCTTTTTGGACGAAGACGAAGTACGTTCGACTCTACTTACGAATTTTTCATAGTCGGATGATCGGAGTTGACACTTGCTACGAAACGGTCGAGAAAAATTGGGCCGAACGAGTGCGGTGGTATCTTTTGTACGTTTTTTCTACGGTTGCCACATTGAGGACGGCCAATCAGCACCTCTCGGTAATAATTGGATCGCGGTTGATCGGTTTTGCGCGATGCTTATTAATAGATGGGTTGCGCACTGTATGCGTATCGGCATCACGCCATTGTTTCATTTATGACTCAAGACGTGTCGGTGAAATCAAATTTTCAACGATGGTTCGACAGGTTTTAGTTATTCGTATTTATTTATTTCTTCAAAAATTCCAAAGTTATTGTTGATAGAAATGGTACGTATTTATTAAAGTTTCCATATTATTTCCTCAAGGTTCGATAAAGTTGATTTATGTTTCTATTAATAAATATTTGAGTTTGTTTGAAGCATGAATGAAAATTGTACAAACTGACGTATTACTCTTCATGTAAGTATGTTACGTTTCATTTAAATTTAGATAGATTAAAAATTTTATCTCACTTTTATTCTAGTTTATTTAAATTTTTCTGTAAATTATTAATCAATATTTTAATATGATTGTTTCTTTTAACATCGCCATCACTAATTCACACATTAAGTAGTTTAAAAATTATTATTATTATTCTGGTAACATTCTTCGGATTTTAACTACGTACAGTATTTGAAATATGTATTTAAGGACTTTATTACAGTTTCACTTGTTATTAGTTTAGACTTCAGTTGTTTCGTAATTTTGTAAGAATAAAACTAATACCGCTTTCAATATTAGTCTTCATAGATTTATTAACATTTATCTTTCCTTCTTTTGTTGGTACCCTTTTTATCTGATCAAATAAAATCTTCTGTATCAATTGTGATACTACAGACAAATAATACAAATAATATTGGAGCGCTACTCCTTATATTTCCTTCAGAGATATCGTTTTCTAATATGAATATTATTAGATTATATTATATTATTGACACTAATATTTTAATATTCTCATAGAAGAATTATAATTTGTCCTTATTCCACTTCATAATTACTTAATGTACATTCAATTCATGTTGATTATTTAATAATACTTACGCTCGAAGTTTCATTGTTCCCTGATAAATTATCCCACAAGAAGAATAACATTCTTGTACCACACAAAATTGAATTCACAATTGATCACATTACTCTTCTTTGTATTTCACAAATTTCAATAACTATTTCGTCAGATAATATTTTTTTTACTGAATACAATACGTTCATAATAGTATCCTTCACTTTATCGTAGATTTATTTTACTTAATTGAGAATGAAATTGTAATATTATGTTTGCAAAACATTTCATATAAAATTGTTTAAAAAGAATTTCTTACTATTTCTTTTATCTTAATAGCAAAAACTAGTAGTATGTCTTTCGATGTGTCACGACAATTAAATCACTTTGCTAAAGATAAATAAACTTAGATAAATAAAATTTAGAGAATCATCAAAGTTAAAATATCGATCATCTTATTCGTCAATTACGACAATATAAAATTAGAATAACGTTTCACGAATTTTTTTCCTCTGATTTACCCTGTATAAATGCCATTCACCGTGATATAATCGGTATATCGAACGATCGATGTTGCGTAGCGACGAGTTCTGAAGATCTGAGCCAAAAGAAAAGTCATCGTGCTCGATCGTCACGTCGATGCGACGATCCGATTTTGGCAATCCACGACTATTGTACATCTCGCGAGTATAAATAAATAAGTAGACCGCAATAGGATATTCCCTTGAACATCCGATATGTCGGAAAACACCCAGGGTTGATCGATGATTGAATTAAACGTGTTTTATTAATAGGCTGGCGTTACGCACGGTGGTTGCACCGGAAATAAAATCGATTGCATCATGGATCACGAGAAGCCACAAATTTTCGTACTCTCTGTTCAGACGATACTTTCTATTAGGTTAAATCACTCAAATTTAGTAATTTGAGTAGTAATTCACTTTCTCTTGTTTTGTTTATAAATCATAAGCGTGCACTAAAGAACCTTCTTTACACAATTATTTCACAAAACGTTGTTGATAGTTCAAAAGACTTCTAGTAAAAAAAGCTTTTATTGTTAGGAAGTTTGAAAATGAGATTATCAGGTGCCAATGTGAAATCGTCTCTTAAACAGATATTAATATTAGTAATGAATTTCTTTAAGTTGATATGAGACGTAAAACGTTTGGAAATTGAATTACTCCCACACTCTTTTTATTGATGATGTTAATATTATAGTTAGGATAGGTGTGTTAATATTACAATTCTAGAAAATTAGGTATCCAATAAAGGGAGATATGCAAGAAGAATATCAAAATCAGGAATCAATTCTGTACTTACCGGATGATTTCAATTTCTTCGTCTTTTTCGCTCAGACGACGCTCGTAATCGTGACGAAGTTGGGTCAATTCGGCGGACAATCTCTGCGACCGCTGTTCTTCGATTTTGCGGCCCTGAAATTCATAAATTTTATTAGAGACAATTCAATATTCAATTATAGCATAAGTTTTTAATAATGATATAAATTTTTGATGATTTTTAAAACATTTTTACTTTGCATCTGGTGCCATATTTTCCAGTCTGTTTATATACAAATTTAATTGTTGAAGATCATGAAGACATTAGCATTTCACGTAGCACATTATGACAGGAAATTTTATTATTAATAATCGTATTAATGTATGATTATCATACGTTTGAAACTCTCAAGAAGGTTGACAGAATATACGGTTACGTTACGTGGACAGTAATCTAAAAGTATCGAATCTTCTAAAAAATTCATAGATTACATAATACTTCATGTCTTTTGAATTACTATTTTCTTTTCCATTTTTATAGTAATTTAAAATTAATATCTTTACCATATAACTTTTGAGCCGAGAACTCAAAATTCAAAACAAATGCAGATAGGACATTCGTCATAAATACTTTAAATTGTAAGCATAGAGAATTTTTGTTTTAACTACTGTGTTCAAAATTATGTATATGTTTTTAAATATTCAACTAATTTGATGCAAATTTTTTAAGTTGCTCAGGACAGATGTAAATCTGTTTTTACTTACTGCTTCCGCCTCCTTGTAGGCAGCAGCAAGCTCTTCACGTTCGTTCTCCAAACGACGAAGTTCGAGTTCCAATTCGTGAAGTCTGCGGTTCATGTCGGCCAGTTGGTTCTTAGCATCACCTAGGTCGTCTGAAACAATCGAACAGTTGATTATAAACCTAATCGTCTCATCTAATCCTTATCCACAATTCTTCAATGTTTCAAAATAGAAACAACTTTCGCAATCTCAATTTTTAACTTCATCTTTTTATAATTGTAGAACTATATAAAAGTGATATAGGTTTGAAATTCCATGTAAATATTTCTGTTTCAATAAAAGGAAAACTTTTTTAAGTAAATTGTGTGTTGTAGAAATTACCTCCCAATTTCTTATTTTCACGAGCAAGTTGGTCCTTCAACTCGCGAGTCTTGTCCAGTTCACAGTTGGTGCGTTGGAGTTCTTGTTGCTTGTTGCGAAGATCGCGTTGGCTCTGCTCATACATCGACATGCTTTCCTCCAGACGTGCTTTCAGTTCGATATTGATCTTCTCTAATTGTTCTACGCGTTTCTGGAGCTCGCGTGCGGTTCCATTAGCCTGAAAACAATGATTAAATTATTCAAACTATTCTGTTCTATTATATTCAATTATTCTGAATAGCAGTTCTTCATGAACTTGATAATATTATTCTACGGTTGTGAAATAAAAATTTCAAATATCTATTGTCGCTAGACCGTAAATGTTCATGTGAATCTATAATTTTATACATATAGGTTTACTGTGTTCATTTAAAAGGAAAAATTTCTTTTAATAAATCAAATTTTATAAATATTTCTATATTTATGAATTTGATTTACTAAGGAACTCGTGAGTTACAAAATAGAATTTTATAGAGTTAATGTAAAATAATATTGATTGTGAAAATGTACCTTCTCCAAGTCAATGATCAGGACCTCGACTTCAGATTGGAGGCGAGATTTCTGCTTCTCAAGATTGTTAATCTTAACCAGCAGGGTTTCGATCTGTTCTTCCTGTTCCTGGATACGCGCGCTGTATTTGCGGCGTAGTTCTTCTACCTGCAGAATTTAATAACAGTATTACTATTTACCATACTATAGTATAATAAAAATAAATAAAAATATGTAGAGTACATCATTTAAGATGTCTTGAGCATTTGTTAACCTATGTAAACTTGATTACACATTATACTTCGCTTTAGATGAATATACGTTTATTTCATTATATATTCATACTTAATAACATTTTGTTACATATTGTATTACGAAATTTTAATATTCAATTACTAAAATGTAGGTATCACCAATGAAACATAAAAGTAAATCGAGATATTAAGCGCAAAAAATTAATTTTTGGAACTAAAAAAGGTATTTTGCAATAATTACCTCTTCGGCGCGTGCATTAGCCTCGGTCTCGTACTTCGATCTCCATATTTGAACTTCTCCGTTGGCCTTGACCAATTGACGTTCAATGTCCAAACGTGCTTCAGATTCTTCTTCCAATTGGATGCGAACGGATTCCAACTCCGTTTCGACCTATTGATAATGTAACGTTAATAAATAATTCTAATTTCTTTCTAATCGGTATAATTATCAATCTGAATAACTTTCTGGCGAACAATTAAGTCGTTACAATTATGTGGATTATAATGTTAACTTAAATAGAGTGCTGAAAATATAAAAATATTTAGAATATCGGATCAATAAATTAATTACGTACTATTTTATAAAGCACGAAGTCATTCAAATTCCTAAAAACATTGAATATATAGGTACTGCGTTTACTAATTTAATACTGTAGAAATTTTCTCTAAAAAATTTCAATGGTATGGTATAATTTCTTTGTACTACATGCGTCGAGTATGTGATTTATTCATTTGTTTTTTGTAAACATTTTTTAACGTTGTATTCGATTTTTGATTGTTATGGAAGAGCTTAACGAACGGCTGAAGTCTTGCTCAATAAGTGTTTAGTTTTTGTTGAAAATAAGTAGGAAACGTACCTGATGCAAAGAGGCTTCAACCAATGAACGACGACGTTCTTCATCTTCAAGACGACGACGAGCGTCCTCGAGCTGTCCAGCGATCTGAGTCCTCAGGTAAACAACATTCTCGATGCTGACCTACATTTGTACATAATTTATAGTTAGTAAATAAATATTCGTAACCCGGGAACAGTTAATAAAATACAATTGAAATACGCAATCTGTATTATACTTCAAATAGTGTAGTATAAAACTGAAATTTATTATCAGTCTTTTTCGATAAAAAATAAAATAAATTTTCTTTTACCACCGATTTACTGATATGACATGAATAATATATCTAAAAACCATAAACGCTACACTCAGTACATAATTCCAATAGTTTATTATTTTTAAATTTGAACGTCTATATTAACTAAAATTAAAATAGTTTACAGTAACTTTTAACAATTACCTTCAATTACAATGATTTTAAACTTCATGTATTATTGCACTGATGTTACGTGTTATTTGCCGTAATTATCAAATAGACTTAAATATGAAATAACATTGTGCTAATAAATCAGCAGAAACAGGATGTTACCTTCAAGTCCTGTACTTCTTTGGTCAGCTCAATATTTTCTTGGGAGAGCCTAGTCTTGTGGCTAGTGATGTCAACGATGGTACGATTCAATTCCTCTATTTTCACGTTAAGCTCGGCGACGTGGATCTCGAGCTTCTCCACTGTCTTTATGGACATCAACTTTTCTTTGCTGACATTGTCCAGCTGAGCGAGGAGTTCGTAAACTTCTTGTTGGAATTTTGATTTTTCCTTGTCAGCCCTGTAAAATGTTATAATCATATATTAACGAACACTATTTTTTGCATGTTTAAAAAGTATAAGTTGTTTCAAATCAAAACCCTGTTTATCATTTTGTTTGGTAGTTCTACATCCTATGTATTGTATAAAAAATAATAATAGTAGAAATATGTAAATATCATGTTTTTTTATTCATTTCGAAGTCTTTTATAGCGTTCAGTACTCTAAATTCGAATTCAAACATAATTAAAAAAAGTAAACGTAAAGGAAAAATTCCTTATGTGAACTAAAAAACGTTTAGGAAACATGAACAAAATAATTAATAGTTAGCAGATTTTAATTAAATTATTACTTTATTTCTATATAAATGATTTTAGAAAGATTTATCATAAAATGGTTAATTATTTATGAGAATCTTCATTAGAATAATTACAAAATTATCCTTCCTATTCTCTCCATGTTTTTATAAGTAAAATATAGTTACATATGTACATGTTTAAATTCTAGTTTCCTAATAATTAACTTTCTAAGGTTTTCTAAATTATTACCTTTTCAATATTGGGTTTATTTTAACATTAATTTAGAGTGTTGGGTATTATTCTGCATGTCTGTATTCGATTCTTCTTTTTTCTAGTGATTTTCACTGAAGGATTCTCTATTTTGTCATTAACTTGTCAAGCGGATGGTTCGTCGACAATGACCACTTATATGTACATAATTAAAGACAAACAATAAGAATCTAAAGTAAAGTAAGTAAACATACACTACTGGAAATATTTGTTGTATCATCTTCAAATTCACGTAGTACGCACAATTTTCATAGTAATATAATTGACAATATGGTTCGTATCCAACTTATTTTTACGAAGATAGCGAGCTACACATTTTTGCAATAAGTACTTGTTTTTATTAGTTTTCCTAGTACTAATAACAAGACAGATATAAGTGACAACGTGTTTAATATTCGAGTAATACATTAGATATTTCCACTACTGTAAGTACAATGTAACTAACACTACTACAAATAATAGGATACAACTAACTACACAAATCTCCATGTAAATAAATAAGACCGCAAAAGATCGTTGAGAACTACAGTCGAAGACAAACGAGTTAACTCGTCTTCTCCAGTAAATAGACTATAACATGACTGTAAAAAAACGACATCGTGTTTCAAAGATTTATTTTACCTATAACCCCATTGATCCTTGAACTACAGGTATGCAGGATATCATGTAACTGGTGGTACAACTGAGTAGATGGTAATTCTACGTGAAAAAATAAGTCGCAATTATACAATAAAATTGTTTCAATTTAGACTCAATGTTCGAGAAAATCGGCTTTGAAAATTAATCTGAAATGCGTGTATTCGTCATGGAAGTAAGTAGAAATGGAATGCAATGAACAGACGCGTCAGCCAAGTATTACTCAATTACGCACCTATCCAACAGGTTTTCAAAGGCGATTTTCTCGAAGACAAAGTCTGAAACGAAAAAATTTTATTCTATATTTTTGATTTATTTTTTCACGTAGAATCACTCCTAGCTGGCTATATCACCAGTCACAGGACACCCTGTATATTCATGAAACTGATCTCCTAAAAAACTAGTTCAATAAGTGATACTAATGAAAATAACAGGTAGGCATACAAACAAGCAAATGTTTGGTTTTATGGAAAAAATAACAAAACGAGTGTAATGCGGTAGAAAGATATTGTATTATTTCTCTGTATTTTTAGTTCTTTTCATTTCGACGTCTGTTGAAAACAGTGGTAGTTAAAGGGTTAATGTTGATTGGTACGAAAATGTACCAGCATACAAGTAATTTATTTTTCGCGGTACCAAGTGGCAGTCGTTATTCAATGATCATTGGAAAATGGATGGAAGAAAAGAACGAAATCTGCATTAGTGAGTTAACTTATTTATGCTTGTACTTGAGTCGAAGATGTTTGGTCCCCTCATAAAATGTTAAGAATACTATAAAAGTCGCGCGATATTCTAGAGATACTCCATATTGCAAGCCTCTACGCTACCCCGCGGCGGGTTATCTAGCGAGCATCTTGGAAAGAGGTGTGGCGGGGAGAGGGGCAAAGAAATATCGAGTCCTCTTGGTATCGTCCACCTACACGTAACAGAGGGTGTAAGGTGTCGGCCGATTCCGAGGATAGTGGGGATCAGGCGGCCGGTCGCCTGTACTAATATGGCGCGTAACACGGGGTTGAGAATTGCCGCGCGCGACTCGCACGGTTAAAAATAGTCATAAGCGGAGTAGTGGCCGAGCAAGCAAAACGACACGCAGAGGGAGAGACTGAGAGAATAAAAACGGTAGACCTAGGAAGAGAGAGAGAGAGAGAGAGAGACAGTGACGGATCGAGGGGGTAAAAGAGGCAAGGGGAGCAGGCTATTACGGAAAAATAAAGAATTGTGGATGGAAAGTTGTAAAAGTTTGTAAAATTGGGTCAAGGAAAACGGGAGATTTAAATTTAAAATGTTGTGGGGATGGGTCATTACGACGCACGTGTGTACCCTAACGTTTTCTTTCTTGTGAACAAGAATTTATCTTTGATAATTGATAATTGAAGATCTGAAGGAAGGTGGTGAAGTCTAAAGAGAGTTGAAAAAATAATTTCCTTTGGATGTTACGTATTTGGAATGTGGTGGAAGATGAAGATTATGAGTTTGAACTTTTTCGTTGCTATGTGCTAATATTCCGGAGAGTTGGATGATAGGATTACAATATTTTGGAAAATGAAACGTGGATGACGTAGAAATTGTAAGGATAAAGATTTTGTGGTTCGAGAGACGGAAAGTTGGGAAAAAGAGATATATGTACATATATGAGACACGAGTAATTTGTTTTGACAATATTGAATTAAATTTTGACAGTATTTTGCAGATTTGTTTTTATTTTTGACGTTAGGTTTCTGCTTCAAATTTGAACTAGTTCTAACATTTGTGAACTAATTACGTACGCGAATACTATTTTTATCGCGGTTTAATCAATTGAGGAACGTCAAATACAGTTTATAGATATAAAAATTCAACATCGATTAACAATTTGTTATCAACAAGCGGAAGGAAAAGTGTGTAATAACATTTAAGAAATTTAAAAATATCTAATGTTAATGTTAATGTTAATCATGGGATACTTCAAATGTTTTGAATGTATAAAATTAATGATCCTTAATAATCATTCTGAGACAATTAAATGGTTCATTCCTAACATCTTTGTCAATAAATAAATTTGTGCAGTTAATATTGTAAGAATGCCTTATGCATGTAAAAGTTTGAAACAAACACTTTGAAAAAATTGAGAGAACAAAACAAACGAAAAATAATTGTTATTTGTATGTCATGAAAAGAAACAAGATAACAGAAGTTGTTGTGAAAATACAATGGAAGGCTGGATGTGAGGAAGGAGATATGAAAGTTGTAGATGTAAATTGAAAAGTTGTGAAAACTGGAGAGAATCTACGGAAAGAAAAGTGTTGGTATTTTGAAGAAAGAAACTATGTAAGTAACAACCTAAACAAGGAAGAACATATACAACCAAGTAGGAAATGAGAAAAAAAGTTAAGAATGATGAAACACATGAGTGCGGAAAAGTGGGAAAAAAGGAGTGGAATGAAGGAAGTGTTGAAAGCAACTTGGAAGGTGGGACAAGTCTATTTTAAAAGCGTCTGAAATGTCGGTTCTCCACCAACAGGTGGAGACTTTTTTTTACTGGACACCGCGAATTTTTATGTCCCCGACACCTTTTTATGTTCTTTTCTTTCTACGAAGGTAATTGAAAATAAAACAGACGTAAAATAATTTTTAATTTTTCGGAGACCGTCTCGGAAGTGCTCACTGGAATGTACTTTCCATTTATTACTCCCGGTCGCCGTAATGGTGGACCAGCTCGCTCTATTTTGCAGGTTGAATTATTAAGAGGCAATTAACTGTTACTCCGCCGCGACGCCGTTGACGCATAAATGTCGTAATTGCTTTCACTGAAAGGTACACTTAGAACGGAATCCCTTGGGATCCAATTTCAGAGTATATTCATGATCTGCTGTTACTGTTAAGTTGGGAATGTGTGATATTGTGTTGCGAAGAAACCATTGAAATTTTGTGTAGTCACAGAGGTTAATGAAAATGATGCTTCGTGGAGTTCAAAGGGGCCAAAATCGAGAATAGGTGTCGAGAAATTAATTACTCAAAAATGTGCAGAAACATAACCTCCACTATTTTTTTGGAGTCAAAGAATTAATTAATTGATCTAATGTTTCTATTAATACAGCTTTAATTTCTGTGAAATATATGAATTGCACAGAATTTGTTCGAAAATTTTGATGACCTCTTGCATGAGTAGGTGATCTATTGATTATGTATCTTTATAGAAAGAAAATACATGAAAACGGTAAACAGAACGAACACAAAAAACAAATTGTGAATAAATTAAGATGTGCATTATTGGCGTTAAGCATAATCTTTAGAATCAATTTTAGGAAATATAATATTTACGAGAATTCTTCCCTAAAAGAAGTTTCTTAGAATTTTATTTAATCTAAAGAGGATTATGTATTATATTTTGTAGGAAGAACAGAGAACAACTCAAATTATAATTTTTCTGTAATTTACCATTTTTGTCTATAATTCATCATTTTTCTATAGTAACAATATAAGTAGCAAACATCAAGAAACAAATCTAAGTAAATTTGACTTCTAAAATAGGAATGAGAAGTTCGATGTCGGTCAAAATAACGTAAGAACATCTATTTATGCCCATAAATGTAGAAAAAACTTTTCCATTTTTTCTTCTAACTTCTTATTTTTATATTAAAATATTATTCCGATTATATTAAATACACTTTTAAAAAGAACAGAAAATTGAATCTCTCATAAGTCTTTGTAACTTAAAAACTTATTCTATTGGTGACCGTAATTTCTTACTTCTTAACTACTTTTTAATTACTACTTAATTACTTCTCAATTTCTCACATCTTAACTTACTTCTTACTTTTAAAGAAAAAATAACTCAACATAAAATTTAGTATCCATCCAACAAACAGATTCCAAGCAACATAAATTCCACTGAACTAAAGCGATAGATCAATCACACCTAAAAGAAGCTTTTAAAACGTCATGGAATTCAGAGAATTATTCCACGTTTCCCTTGAACCTTCGCTTCGTGTTTACGCAAGAAGCTTACGCAACATCTGAGGAAACACAAAGTTGCGGCGAAGAAGTCTCTCTCTCGCTCTCTCGAGGTAGGATAGAATTAATTAGATAATAGACGGCGTCTCGATGACAGCTGAGTGAATTTTCGAAACGGAGGGTGTCCTTGTAGCGTGGTATCGCGCGTCGGGGCGCCGGGACGTCGAAAAGGACGCGGGTTATGTTTAGAAAAGCCGAGGGAACGAGTCTACGTGTATTTCAGGTGCGAGTGAGCTGGTTGTTTGGCCGGTGGCCAGTACCCGTCGAGCATAATTCCCGCAATTTTCGAATATGCTTTCGTTCCTCGCGATGTCCCGCTATACTTAACGAAGCAAAGGGTCGTGATTCATCCTCGTTCATCCATCGTGTCTTTACATCCCTCTTACACCCTCCCTCCCCCCTTTTCCTTCTGTCCACGAGGAACCCGGATGGATACGAAAGTTTGGTTCGCGTTTCGGTGCACCTTTCGAACTTCCCGCGGACTGTTTATTGACGCTCGCCGCGCTTTGACCTCAAAGAGTGTGAGTGAATCGCGAGCGGAGCATACCGAGGCCGCACGATTTTATTTTCACAGGTGTATATAATTAACCACGGTTTATTGGTGTTCCGATTTCGTTTCGTATGGTATCGAGTAGGAGTGCTTGGTGCCGTATCCGGAGCGTGTTTAGGTTCAATTCCCGACAGCGTGTTATCGCGGTCTGCTTTGATACTCAAAATTTAATATTACTCGAGGAGGATTTGGGTAACCGACCGCTGCGAGATCTTCGCTTCTGAGCCGTCCGTGCGGACAATAGATCGTTGGAAATAGTGAAACATTGGGAAACAGAAGTTCTGAGGAGCGTGTGTGGTTGTACATTGATCTTAGGGAGGTTTTATGCTTGGTGTACTGAAGAAAAGATTACGTTATTTGAAACGATTACAGCTTTCGACATAACAATTGTATAATTTTGTTTCCTTCGCCAGTTGTTGTGAATAAAACGTTTTCTCTATTTATTTTCGAGCAATGTAATATCTTAGGTGTTGTACTGTATGTACGTAAATGTAGTCTTAAATGCGAGGAAAACATTTGGTATAGTGCGTTTCAAGATTCTACTGACCTGGCGCGTGCTTTCGCAAGTTGATCGATCTGATCCTGGAAATCGACAACGACTTCCTGGTGTTTCTTGCGCAGAAGGTGCGCGGTCTCCTCGCTCTCGAGATGGACATCTTCGAGTAGTTTGCGCAGCTTGGCCAGTTCCGTGTCCCGTTTCTTGTTGATCTCAAACTGTAGAGTTACAATGGAAAACAACAATATTAAACCTTCATCGCCGGAATAAGAATATATTTTATAAGTTTGAAGATCGAATGTAACACATTGGCGAATGAGCTGTTCATTTACCAAAGTGAAAACAGTAAGTGGAAACAATTTCTAAAATTATACAATTAAACACCAATCAATTGCTTTGGCACAAAAATTTGGAAAAATTCGGTAAGTGGAATTAGTCACTTTAACCTTTGAACTTGAAACCACGGAACCTTTGAAGAAAGTCGATATATTTAATATCTTTTCTTGAATTATATAGAGGATATAGTACATGTCGTATAATATGTTTCAAACTTACTTGAGATTCGGCGCCACCCTCGGCCTCTTCGAGACGTTCGGAGAGCTGAATCACTTGCACGCTCAAATCAGCGCGCTCGCGTTCGATCTGCAAACGCACGTGGCAAATGAAGAACGAATTTGTATTATGAAAAATTATTAATACAGATTTATTATTCCGAGCTAAGGGGAATAAAAGTAGATTTCATTATTGTTAATACAGATTAATTGATATTCTGGTAGAATTCTTCTTTCATTATTTACGTAAAAATTAATACATATGTTACACTTACAGAGTGGTTAATGTGAACAGACAACTAGTAGCAACTTTAAAAACATTTAATATACTCACAAAAGTAATTTATTAAATTTCTAGTTTCCAAAATATTTAAATATACAAATTGATTTGGGATTTATTAAAAATCATTGATGTTAGTCAATGAACTGTAGAATTGCAAAATACATGATTAATAAAAACTGTATTTACATTTTACAGTATTAGTAAAAAAAAGTCATATATCGGAAGTATTACTAAGATCTTTAGTAAAGGAAATAAAGATCATGACGTTGATTCGATCAAGAACGATGCAAAGCTAATGTTTAATCAGAATCTGATTACCAAGTTCCTACGGTATTTGTATTACCTAGTTATTACACTTCCTCATAATCCATTTTTTTTCGGTAATTGACTTCTACAATGCAATCACTGTTATTTTCTTTTAAAATTATGAAATGAAACTAACTCCTAAATAGTGAGGTTAGGTTTCCAAGTGGTTATAAAATCTCAAAAAGATACCTATTTGTTTGTTTTTATTTTTCTGCGCATTCTTTCTCATCTAACAGAGTTAATTCCATTAGAAACTTCATAAATAAATTTTTATTAACATTGTTCATTTTAGTGTACTTACTAAAATGACTAGAATTCTCTGTTCCAAAGAAAAAACTAACACCGTTAAAATAGGGAGAAAATTCAGGTATGCGCAGACCTTATTTTACTAGTTTGGTAACAGAGGTTACACTTCACCAGTTAAAAGGTTAATCGAATTGTTTCCAAGGGTAATCACTAAACGAATTCATTGTACATAGCGCAATAGTACAAACACTGTCGGAGGAACATGTTGATGCGTGTCGAGTGTAATCGAGATGCGCGGCATTGTTTTGGAAAGAGGCCTCGAGGAACGACGCGAACGGCTTGGTGCAAGCTTGACGTCAGGTTTCTTCGGACCGCGAATAGAACGATCTAATTCCGGACGAACCGGCTCTATATTCGGAGCTTTATTCATATTACGAACGAGGCGTTTATCTGGAAAAGAGAAACGCGCGACAACGCCATAACTGTCCCTTTTCCGGAAATCGTCGCGTTCTCCATGGCACTCCCTTGTATTTACCGACCCTGACATAACACGTACTTCCTGTAATACCTATCTTTTTTATAGCAAAAATTTGACTTTAAAACATGAAAACTATTCGAATCTTTAATTCCATATCAAAAGCGACATTATTAGGTGTACCGATAAATGACCCAGTTTTTCTTGGCGAAATCGGTACTCATTTCTGTAGAAGTCAATCTATACTGTTTTATTCATACTGATAACGGTTTCCCATCATCATACACCTCTTTTCCTTAGTGAGAAGTTGTCAAGACATCTTTAATTTAAAATATATCGCTTCATATGCGAAGAACAATAGTATACTTTTTGTTACACCTAATAATTGGTTTAATCGAATTTCTAACAGCGGTCTGCAGCCAGTCTGTAAACTAATGTGTAAGAAGTAGTGTTCAAAATCTAATAGAAGCTACTTGAAATTGAGTATTTATTATTTTTCTATATTCTTTTTATATGTTCGTTTATGTATTCTTGTTTGAAGTAAATAAATAATTCTATTTAATATGTTTTCTATGGATAAGGAAGAATAACAGAAATGATCGAGTGCGTGGAGATAATAAGTATAGACATACAAAATTTTACGAAATTAATGAATGTACATCGACAATCTATTGAAATATGTAATAAATGAATAAAAGTAATATTCGCGGACGCAAATTTTAGACAACCGTGTGGAAAGAATTATGAAACTAATAAAAGTCTACAAGATTCTGATTACTTATCCGGTACACATGCAAAAAGGAAAACACGAGGAAAATTATTGAACACTTTGTTAAGAATTATGGAAAAAGAGAAATTCGTAATAGTGTTAGTACATTCTTATTACATTTAAACTTACAATATTTAAGCATGCCACACACAGTATCGTAAAAAGAGAAATTCGTAAGATTACATAATAAGTATCTGGACATAAGCCGCATTTATTTTTTGCAACAAAGACAAAGGAGACGATCATAGTTTCCAGCTTTTTGCGTCTCATAATCAGAAGGAACATTTCTGGCACCAGTTCAAGCCGCGTATCTTGACGAGCGCAACATATGAATTCGATTTCCATGGGTTACTTTACCGAATAATGAAACAGTACAAGCTTCTCAGAAATGTATCCCGTCGTTTAAGCAAAATTTTCAGGTCTCTCGCGAGTTTATTTGTAATTATTCCAAATTCACGAATTAAATAAACAATTCCTAACATTCTCGACATTCGTTAAGATAAAAATTAGTTCTACCTCTGTTTACTTGCAAAGTTCTGCCTTTCGAAAATTTTTTATATTGTTGTTATTTTTTTGTCTTTAAATGCGATGTGTTACATGTACGCCGAACACGAAAAAGGAATGCGGGTTCGTTCGCTGAAGAGTCGCGCATCCCCAAAAATAGACGCGAGTCGTGAGCTGGACATTTCGACCTACTGCTCCCCACTCTGTGGTGGAGCGGGCCACTCTCGTCTTTCTTTGTATCAGTTTCAAAATTCACAATACCGACATTACATTACGTTTCGAAGATTGACGTTTATCACCGCGGTCTCGGTATTTTTATCTTTGTCCCCACATTACGCTCTAATCTCGATTCTCCTTACTTCAATGCCTACTCCTTTATATATTACAAAGCAATATGCTTCAAATTTCGCAGTGAACAGTTCTACTTAAAATATGAAATTCGTTAAATATACCATTTAATGGAAAAGTTATAAGTAATAAGCAAACGATAGGTGAATAGAGTATCTCCAGTGTTTTAGGAAGTCGGGAGATTCTTTGATTAATATGAGCCGTTCACTTGCCAAAGTGATTAAATCCACAAAAATATATAAATATAAAAAGTTAAGCATCAGTCAAATGGTTTGGCACTGAAATTTGAGAAAAATCTTAAAATGGAGTTAGTCACTTTAGCCTGTCATCATTTGACTCATAGAATAGCGGTTGAATGTGGAAACTTAACGCTTGATCAATCTCTCCGATCATTTTCGATCTCGACGATACGAAAGGGATGACATATACAGGTCGGAGAAGCATTCGTGTAACTCACCCTCTGACGCAGCTCTCTCTCAGACTCCAGGTCATCCTGCAGCAGGCGGATTTTGTCCTGAAACGAGAGGCAAGAAAAGATTAGAGTGTGTCACGGGTCTCGTTATAGAGGGGTCGCGGTGCCTTTACGTAATCGGCCGACGAAAATATCCAACAGCGGACGGCTCGGGTATTTCAAAAAGACGGACGGCCTCCGAACGGGCTGCGTTCTTCAGGGGAACAGGAGAGTCTTCGCTCCCGGCGACCGTCCATTTCGGGGTCGTTTTCAACGGGGACGAGGGAACGCGAACTCGTCTATCCATGGCTCTAAACGAGCTAGCAGGGATGGTTCTCCTCGTATCGATAAGCAAAAAGGACAGTCTTACTTGGTTACTGAGGCGAACACACGTTTCCTCTTTCCACACGGTCCGTCGTTTCGTGGTGAAAATCGTGGATCAGTCGGGTTTGATTGTATCGATAGCGTCGTCCGTCTTTCCCGAGCATTTCGCGGACGCTATCGAAGATGTCACTTCGGTGTGGTGGTAATCGCGGCACGATCGTCGTTTGGGACCGATATTCACGACTATTTTCGTACACGAGCAATCCGATAGCCACGGAACCGTCTACGGCACTTTCCTCGTCGGGGTTGGCACTAATATCCCTTATGGTCACTGAACTTTCTCGCGTTGCACTGTCCCCCACCGCGAAATCGGTCACTGCTCTCCGTTTCGCGTATTCACCAACGACAGTCACTGTAATGATCCTGCCGATTTTTCATCCACCTCGATTCAAATTCAACCTGGATAGGTTCGAAGGGTATCTTTACGTGGCTTTCGTGTCTTTGATCCTCTTGGCGGATGCAACGAGTTCTCCTCTAGCTGATTGAACCTCTTCCGTCCCCTTAATCGTGGCCGAAATCCTCTTCTTCCGATATGATATTACTCGAGATACCTCGAATTTTCCTTGTTGAATATCTCTTTCAAATATGTCGAGTATCACGAGACACCTTGGGTATACTATACTTTAGGCTCTCAGAATACCTTACATTCTTTTTGTTAAATGTATTGCATTATTCAATACATATTTATTGAACACATCAAGTTTAATAGATTATTTTGGTTCCTCTTCATTGGATACATCAGATGTTACCGTCATCTTGAATCCTCCTCATCGAAAATTCAGTCATTACGTTTTTATTCAATACTTTACACATAATCATCAGCCGTTCAGCGATCTCCTGTTCCATTTCACTTTTTGATAACTTTACAACCTGTTTTACGAGATCCCATATAGATCTGAAGAGAGTATTTAAAGATCTAGACATAGTGATGCTTCGTTAACCCTAATCTACCAGAACCATTAACAATCGGGAATAAAAAGGGACTCGTTCAATGAATGTAATCCAGATCCGACAACAATGTTGTTTAATCAGAAGCAAAAAGTTCCAACTATCTAATTGCATGTTTTAGAGAAACGAAGCAGCGCCGCAAATCCAGACTTAATACACGAAGAATAATGACGAATACAGAAAGAGATGATCCGTTTTTCGGGGAAAACCTACCTCCAGTCTAGTGAGAGCGCTCAGGTCAGCGCTGTATTCGATGCTAACATCGGCAGTACCACCGCCGGTGGAGCGGTACGTGTATTTGGAAGCTTTAGCGATCGCTGAAGACATCCTGTCCGCTTGGTTCACTTGATTTCTCGACGATCCCTCCGTTCCGTCCGTTCGGCCGAGTTTTGTTTCTCCTCGGGCTGTGTCCGCTAAACCTTTAGTTTTCGCCTCGATGCACTGGCTGGTGCTAGTAGTTAAGTCGTCTTGATTTAAATCGTCGTAGTCAGGCTACCACTTCCTCCTCCACCTTCGTCGTCGTCTTCTTCTTCTTCTTCTTCTTCCTTCTCTTCTTCGGGGGTTTCGGAGCCGACCAGCGCCCTACTCGTAGTGCGCGACCCGTCGTCGTTCGTATGGCGCGCCGCCGGCTCCATGGCATCGTCAAAATGACGATTACGCGCGTGCGCGCTAGATCGTCGGCGCCCCCGCCCCACCAGGAACGCCGCGACGAACGACTCGTCATTGCCGTTGTTCCACGTCCTCTCCACCACCGTCGAGCGGAACCACCAGCCGACGACCACCGCTGTTCCGAGGACGCCCACGTTTCCTGAACGCATCTGCCTTGGCCCCCCTCGAACCGTTACGTGTCCGATTGATTTGAAAAACTCCTGTACTTCGGAGACATATTTTATGCTCACGTGGTTAGTGGTAACTTGTGAATAGGAAGGGTTATTATTAATTTTTAATTGTCGACACCAACGTTTCTTTCATCAAACGAATTGAGAATAATATAGGGGCTACAGAAGAATTTAATATTAAAATATATGAAATAATGTATTTACTATTGAATTGAAAGAAATTTTTTGTTAATTAATTACTTTATTTAGATTAGTTTCGTGACAATGGGAAATAATGTTTTTTTTACCCTGTTGATCGCCTGCCAGCGCTTCTGTATGTATTAGCGTGTATACAAATGAGTTATACAGTTGTAATTTACACATTTTAGTGCGTTATATATTTCATGTTTTGAAGTAGTAGAATTCCAGAAGTTGTGACAAAATGAAACAGAAAATTATTATACACGATACAGGAGTATCTGGACAATTCACGGGGATAAGGAAACATTACGTGCGATCAAAATTAAATAATTTTAATTCATCAGGAATACATTTAAATTATAGTTAATTGTTCGTTAGTTTAGTACGTGTGGAGCATACAATTTTTCGTAAAAATGTCATAAAAACAACTTGCTCAAGTACTTTCGTGAGCGGCTGTGTAGGTGAATAATTTTAGAACATATAAAATATCATGAATACTGCGTATCGCAGGGGGTACAGATCGCGAATCCAATGATTTCGAAGTAAAACTTTTTCAACGACAGGGGAAAATAAATTTGCCACATTTGAAGTTTACGAATGGTGTACGCCTCAACAGGTGTACGGGAGACGAGTGTACGATCAAAAATCAATTCACGCTCGAAATTGTTCGGGAGTGGTTCTCGGCAATTAGAATTAGAATTAGCTTCTAGCGTCCCACGCCTCTCGCGCCGTGGAATTATTCGTCCAACATTCGGCCGTGCAACTGCGTCGCTCTTCGTACCGATTTAGATATAACGTACTTGAAAAGCTGCAGGGTCATCACTTCGCATAGATCGGCCATCGATCAGAGAAGTCGTTGACTCACCCGAAACTCCAATAGCGGCGTGAGCGTAACCGTTTAAAAAAAGTGTAACAATCGCTCGCGACGCGTCACCAATCGGGAGTAATATCGTGGCCAAAAGCGTTTTTAGAACTCGCCGAATCATCCGTGACTATTTTTACTGGTCGAATCACCACGTTGGGAATATGATTTATAATGGTACGCGGTGATAAATAATAAACCGTTTGTACCAACAGGGGAAGCAATCTAGATCACAGAATATAAACTATATATATATATATATTTTAGAAATTGATCACGAAGCAATGATAAAATGACAATGATTAAAATAAAGGGAATATGTGATGTGGTTTATGATTAATAAAGAATGATTGAGAGATAATAATAATGATTAAAGGAAAGAAATATGTGAACGGATGATATGCGAATTTTTACTGAAATGTTGGTTCAAATAAAATATAGAGAAACTTTTCTATAGATGATACTAAATGTTACGAAATAATTTTACTGATTCCTTTGCGTGATGTATAGAATATAAGTTTGTTTTTTTAAATGCATGGTCTTTGTGTAGACAGGTTCTGTTCGGAGGAATGTAAATACATCAGCGCAGGTAATTAATTTTTAATTCGTTTGAATTACTTTTTCAATGAGTCTTTTATAAAAGTCCGATAATTTATTTATGTTTTGCACGATGTAGCATGCAAACACCAATGTATATCAATATCTTCAATATTTTCAAGATAGTCAAGTATCTTACAAATTATAAATTTTCCGTTTAAATGATAGAATAAAATAGAAGTATGCTTTTATTAGAAATAGTATGTATTTTATTTAGACTATTATATGATGAATATTACCTACAGAAGAATCATCCACCTTTAATCATTTAACATTTGCTGTTTCACTGTATTTCCACTCGCACTACAAAAAAGTTACGATTTGCCTTAGTTTCTATTAAAGCAACGAATTACTTTGTACTTAAACAATTAAGTGTTTCATTTAATTTACAATGTATTACATATGTTATTTAAATTATTACGATTTAAAAGAGGCAACCTAAAGAATAAATAACATTTGCTGCAATTTATTATAAATTAATGAAACAAGATAGAAGCCATGAATGTTTAAATTCTTCAATTCAATTTATTCAATTTATTCAAAAACTTCAATTCAAGTGATTCGTGTTGCTCAAACCATAAACGCCGTTCCAAGTGTCATATGAGTAGTTTAATTTTTTTTCCATCGGAGAGTGGGTTGACTGGTGATTTAACAGATGAAAGGAATTTCTTCTGAAAAATCGTCGTCTACCGTTCGGATTCCCCGAATCCACCGCGAATTCTCGCTGATCTTACAGCTGCGTTGAAACGTCTGCGGGCTTTTCGGTATTTACACGCAATATCGTTGTTGACGACGCGACGATGGCTGACGAGAATTCCGGGCGCGTTTCCATCGCAATTGGTATTGCGGCTTTCTTACCTCTTCTCGAACAATGTTCTTCGAATATATGAACACCACACAGGAGAAAAACATGATAAGTAGACTAGGAAAGTATATCCAAATTAGTAGTTTCTGATATTAATATACAGAAATTAATATTGGACGGAATTGTATTTCTTGTGTTAGAAACTTTACTATGTTGAAAAAATTTCCCGAAGATGCATAAACGCACCATTTTGTTACATAAAAAGTATCAATCAAAAAATTTGTTTGATAGGATTCCTATTATTTCTTATGCACTTTTTTAAGTAGTAAATAATTACATGTGCAAAAATCGCCACTTTTCACTGCTTGGGACTTAATCGGTTAATAAGAATATACAAGTAACTTCTACTTCCTTTTGTGGATTAGAAGATGTTACAAATGCATAAACACCCACAGTTTAATGATAAATCACATTTTGCCTTTCTTATAGGGAAACAATTTTTAAGTTCAATATGCCCTCGATCAATCCCATGACAAAACTTTGTTTTTATTTGGTTTTGTGATTAATCACTATCTTGAGCATTAATTATCACCCTTTTGGACATTTCAAAAATATTGACTCTGATATTAGTTGCGCCTTTAAAGGTATTCATATTTATACGTGAAATTAATGATTTAGTCATTTATCTTACTTTCATAATAATTATATTGCGGATTATATGCATTTATAAAATATTCGATCGTCTAAAATTATGTATAGTAGAAACTTTCAGAAGGTTAAATCATGTTTTCTTTCTATATAAAACCTACTAGAAATCTTAATAAGATAAATAAATTTTTCTTTGCGACCAGTTTTGAAACATTAATTTATAAAGTTCTATATTTGTATCAACATCCGCTGTCTACTAATAATAGAGCAAAAAGGTTTCAAATTAATAATATAATTTGTATTGGCAATAACGTTACATTTATTAATAAACCTATAATAAAAATAAGGTTATTGTATTAATTTCAAACCTTTTTGCTTTGTTATTAGTAGACCGCGGATATAAATACAAATATAGAACTTTATAAACTAATTTTCAAAACTGGACGCAAAGAAACATTTATATATCTTATTAAGGATTCTAGTAGGTTCTATATAGAAAAAAAACATGAATAATTCTTCTGAAACTTTTTATAATACATAATTTTAGACGATCGAATATTTTATAAATGCATATAATCCGCAGTATAGTTGTTATGAAAGAAGAATAAGTGACTGAATTTTTTTACGATCAATGTTTAATTTAACGATTAAAAGTAAAGTAAAGACACACATAAACTTTGAGACGAAGCATAATGGTGTCAAAAATTCACACTTCTGTGTATTTTGTGAAGCTGTGTATAATTAGATATAATTAGAAAGAAGTACAGTAGTACTGCACTGAAACCTACAACAAAGAGAGAATAATATTTCGTCTTCCACATACATTTCTGTAAGGGTATAATATATTTTCATACTTAAAAAATGTTTAAAACACAAATATAAATGTTCTTGTTATAAATCCTATGTATTCACATAAAAAATATTCCACCTTCTTTCTATACTGTTTCCGGAACAGCGTCGATTACGTTATCGTTTACCCTCACTACTAGCCACCCGTCTGCGCGAGGAATTCTCATTCCACTAGCATACTGTCCCACTCCAACCGCCATGAATTCCTCCCGTATTTATATCCTATAATCCATTTTTATTTACCCAAAAAACAGCAAGACACAGGGAACAGTATCCACTGCAAACTGTTCTGTGTTCAACATTTAACTCTCATCCGCAAAGCAATCTTATCGAAACCGTCGAATACAAATATTCCATTGCTGATGGCGCCGAAAGATAAATCGCTAGTTGTCACGTTTTCCGAAAACTTCCAGTTTTCACAAAATTTCCACGACCACCCAGCCCGCCCCACTCCCGTCGAGTGTCTATAAAAGGTCGCTCGTGGCGATGGTGGGCAAAGATGTTCGGTCGGCCTAGCCCGGAGCTCACCAAGTAATTTGAGATTGGCCCCTTCTCTTCTGCGTCATCTTCATCACCTTGCTCCCCACTTTCGGGGGCCGACGAGCGCGTGGCTCCGTCTGGTGGAGAATTCCAGGCATCGGAAAGCACATCGGGAAGACCTCAGACCAGAATAACTGGCTCTTACTCTCTTTTTCCAACCCAGTAGCGACTCCTGTTCTCCATTAAGCCAGGTCCAAACACGTTCAACAGCGAGCATGAACACGCGCAGCACGACGCACAGCCAAAATCCCGTCCACACTCGAGCAACATGCAATAGAAAAGTAGGCTCGTAATTCTTTAAAAATTAATTTTTTATACTCCCGGCATAAATATATAATTTTCCTTTTTTAACACAGTAATTAATGTTCGGATAGGCATGATAACAA